CCTTCCTTCCACCTGGGAACTGAGTTAACTGAAAACCAATGTCAGAGTGTGTGTGTGTGTGTGGGGAGACATGGTTTGTTTGCCTACATAATGTAGACTCTTGATTAATAGCCGCAGCATTTGGATTGAAACACCTCTTCATATGGAGGGTCAAGAGTCTACACTAGGTGTCTCAAGAGCCATGTAGAGCTTTGGTCCATTGGCTGGGGCCAAGATGGGCAAGGGGACAGATTTGTTAAATGTGTTGGCATTGCTTTTTGCCGCTCAATCCTTGCTGTCCTTGCTGCTTCATCAATCTGAACGAGAAGAAGTGAGTCAGGATGCTAAGCTTTGACCATCAAAAGTGTTTTCAGTCTCGAAAGTCTGAATGGGTGGACCAGCAGATAGCCTTTACAGAAGAGGCGATTTACTGGCACAATGATATAGTATATTATAGTATTTATGTATTAATATGTGTTGCTTATATATGTTAAATTACACATATATGGTGCCCCCCCAAGATCAGTGGTTTCTTATAGTTACATGAATGTATATGTGCAATATATATATATATTTAGAACAACATATATGGATCATGAGCATCATCATCCACTGTTGCTGGGACAAATGAAGCACGTTCGCGCCTGTACCAGAAGTCCCTTTTGTACCTCTTTCCAAGACGTTGACTTGAGATCAAGCGTGTTCGCAGATCAAGTTTCCTGAACCCATGAGTAAACATGATCTCAGCAAGGAACAGTAACTAACGGATACTAACGGATTCTGTCAGTTTTCTTTGAGGTTTGAGACACAGAGACTATTTCTTTGGAGGGGCCGCGCCAACCAGGATTTTGTCGGTTGACATGGTTTGACTCACACCCAGATCTACAAGACGCAAGGATTCTCTCGGCCCAGGTCGGTCCGACTTCAAGGTCCGAACAAGAAACATTCCGGACGTGTTTTCAAGTGAAACGAGCGGACCAATCGTTTTCATTGATTTGTTCAGATACAATGGAGCAGCGAAAACTTGTAGTTCGTCCCCGACCAAGGCAGCCAGTCAAAGGCCTTGGCTGCCTGGTCAAGTTCTCTAGAAGCGATGTGGTCAACCGAGGAGGGACGTCAAAGAGAGTGTTGTTGCAAAAAAGGGTTTTAGAATGATGCTGATGCCCTGAGTATTGAGCAATTATGATATAGCCAGGAACTCGCTTCATCAACCAGATGTTGATCTATGCTAAAGGATGTTTATCCAAAATCAAGTTGACAACCTGAAACACCGGAGATGTTGGACAACCTGAAGGGACACCGGAGATGTTGCGTGAGTATGGTGAGCATGGTTCGCCTGGGGTGTTTTCTCAGCTACATGTCACCAGATCTCACCAATCAGAGTGCTGCGGTGTCTTGGTTTCTCCCCTAAGTCTGGATGTGGAAGACCATTAGACTCCACCAAACGAAATCCAAGAACTTCGTAGTCTATTGACCCTGTTTGTCAGTTATTTCCGAACCTCACGCTGACACAATCGCTACTCATGGGCCTTATTATTCCAAGAGAATCTCAAACTGAGGTTGGCACAGAGTCGGTGGTGGTGGTCGTCGTAGTAGTAGAAGTAGAAGTAGTAGGTAGTAGCGGCAGCTGCAGCAGCAACAGCAACGGCAGCAGCAGCAGCCATTTAAGTGGCCTCACTGTTTCCGTGCAGATCACTACCATTTGCCCTGAGGTCTTGTTCTGCTGAACCTGTTAAAAGGATCAGCTCCTTGCTACTTGTAGTCCACTCCAGTTTTGGGAAAGGTAATTATATATGATTATAACTTTATAGAAAGCTTTTTAGGGTGTTTTCACTTGTTACAGATATTTAAGAACTCTCTAGTCTGTTCACTTCTTGGTGATGATGCAACGTACGCACTCCTCGACTCAGATCGCTCAGAGGGGGAGCGTTGGAGGGAAGACGTGAACCGATGCGTTGAGGCCTTTGGAGTGAGTTCGTGTGGAGTGTTCCAGTAGTCAAACTCCGTGACAGTTGGTAGGCTGAACCTTTTGGAGGGGGTTGGCACTTCCGAGTTTGGTGGATTCCGAGCATGTGTCTTCAAACATGTGACGTTCTTGATCATGTTCATGAACACTGGAGAAGTCAGATTGCTCCTTGTGCTTGGGTTACTTGTCAGGAAAACCTGTTCTGAAAATCAACAGGGCTTGGGTTCATCCAACACACATGTTGCCTTGCACAAAGCACACGTCAGCAGGCGCATCTAAGATGACCTTGATTTGTGTGTGTGAGATTTTTGGGGTATTCAAGTTGTGTTCGCTGGACGACAGAATTGTTGTCTTCAATCTTCGAATGTAGAGTTTCAGATAGTTTCGAACAGTATAGTATCAATATGCTTTATATGTGATTTGTTTGTTGTCGAACTTGTCAACTTAAGGAGGCAGGAAGTCCTCCTTCATCATGATGGAGGCAGGGAGTCTTTGAAGCCAAACCTCGAGGTGCTGATCCAGTTTACTACCTGTCTTGTTCCTAGTTACTGGAAATCTGGAAGGACAGTTGATTCCAATCCTAGACGATCTGGGTTTCTCTCTATTCCAGCGGTGCCAACGTCTTCCCTTGCAAGCTGTCCTCTCCAGCCCTTAGATGCCATCTCGGATGGTGCCAATGTCAGCGTGAGTGGTGGCAAAGCAGTTACACTCCTCAAAAAAATATTGAACAACTGATTGTCCAGGGCCTTCTAGAGGGTCAACAACACTGTAGACTTGAGCAGTTTTTGGCTTCGTCAGGTGTCACTGAAATGGATGTTCTATGTTTCACTAGGTTCCAACTAGGAGTTCGTGAGTGCGGTAAGTTCGGGGCATTCTTCAACCCGAACCATTGATTGACATCCAAATGGGTCTATCTCAACAAGAAACACCAGCATCAACGGGTGGAACAAGAATTTCCTAGTTCTGGGAACTAGCTGGAATCTCACTGGTCTGTTTCAAGTCTGTTTGTTCGCCCAACTTTGACGAAACCATCCAATCAGGCTCATCAACAACAATTGGCTATCCTGTGAGTGTGAGGGCCAAGATCCAACTACTTCCAACTCCAGTTTGTGTCCTCCGTGTTGCACTTTCAAAGCCACCGCTGATGCTGGTAGTAGCTAGGAGCCCGCCTTTAGGCCGGCGACCGCGCGCTCGGGCGCCCGCTAAAGACAGCGGCCCGAAACCACGGCGCGTGCAGAGAGCAGGTGGCACGATGAAGCGAGCGATCGAAATTTCGACGTGCCCACCGGTCTGAAAAATGTGGGCGTTGTGTGAGTACAGAGACATGTTTGGATGCAGGGCAAGCTAAGAAGTAGGCTAAGTAGGCCCTTAGTCCAACTAGACGTGGAATTATGATGAATTATGTAATTTACGGACATGCCTGTGCTTTGACACTGGTTTCATGCTTCTTGGCATCATGAACAGCTGATGTCAGCTGTGGGCTTTCGGCATTTGTTTTTGTTGGGAACCGTAGGTTATTTTCATGAATGTGATGTGACTTTTGTGATGACTTTGTGGCTCCAAAACCTGTTCTGCTCACTATAGAAGAAGATATGAGCATCAGCATCATATAGTAGACTGTTTGCATGAACAAGGGGTGAACTGCTGGAGTTGGCCAGCTAAAGCTTTTGAGAAGGGAGACATAAGAAAACCCGGTGAGTTTTCTAAGTGCTTAACAGTCGAGAATTTAAGGAGCAGCAACTCTTGAGATTGCATCAAAGACTTCGCTGCTTCCCAGCTTGGGGCTAAAAACGGCCATGGCTGATCAGAAGGAAAAGCAAATCCAAGAGGCCCCACGGGCTGGCGCATTTTTTTGAGCTGCCGACTCCTGGAGATTCCAGTCGTGGGTTCACACGAAACCGGATAGGGGAGATGAGGGCGAGGTGTTTGGTCACATGATGTGTGGGACCTAGGGGTCGGTAGAACAAGCTGTCTCCCGAGTCACAGCCCATGGAGTCGTCCCCGGCCTCGATTTTCGGCGTCCGTCCGAAAATCGTGAGGCCAAAGCTTTGCAAAAGTCCTTGGAGGAGATCAGTGCTCAGTGAGGGGCCTCAGAGAGCGCACCAGATATGCGGCGTGGGGCGTGGCATGGCCTGTGGCACCGCATGGCACCGCGTGGCATGTGGGAGCTCCTCATGACTCAATGACATGTTTGGGAGGTGTGGTGTGTGGTTTGGGGATCCGTTCTTCTTTGCATTCATTTGATCAAGTGTTGATATTCTTCATAAGGAGTGACCTCCACCACACAAGACTTCTCAGGGTCTCTGAAACACATGGGATCCGTCTAGGTTCGTTGGGGTTTGGCGTCCCCGAACATGTGTAGCACTTGAGAGTCTGCCAGCTATCGGGGGCTACCTTAGGATACGGTAGGATACCAGGATCTCCAACGAGGCCTCGGGGTCCAGGCCTATAGGGGGTGCCTTATGTGTTCATCCACACGGTGCAGCTTCCTGAAAGGTCGGTCACAGGGTGCAGTTTCTGCATACGAGACAGTGGTGCCTAGGGTGTTCCTTTTCGAGAAAAGGCAAGAAAGGATTCATCAGGGAGCACATTGATAGGCATTGAATTAAATTGATATCGTTTGATACTTTTGGTCAATTGACATGACATTCTGGACCTTCTGAAGATTCTTGATCGTTTGGGACCATCGTCCGTTTCGAAAATGCCAATAAATCCAGTATACCTGTCAAGGTGGTCCATCCAATCCAACATCAGCGGAGATCCGCTCGTTGTTTTACAACAACAACAACAACAACAACAACAACAACTGCCACAAAGCGGCATTTGCTGGACCTGAGCCGATCACGCGAGTTCGTTCTTAGTCGCAATTGGATGGAAAACGTTCTTGTTTTTGCGGATTGGTCCTAAAATCCCACATGAAGAGTCTATTTGTACCGGTGGATGGACTATTTATAGCCCCTCATATGTCCTCTCCAAATAAACATTAAACAAAACACAGTGATGTGCTTGCAGTCGAAGGCGTTTTCTTAGGGGCAAAACCCCTTCTTCTCTCCTGCACCAGGAGAGAAGCTGTGCAGCGAGGGGCCTCGGACATGAAGCGATCCTGAGAAGAAGAAGAAGAAGAAGAAGAAGCCGAAGTCCATTGGATCAAAGACCCCATTGGGGACATGATTTTGAGGTGAAAGTACTCAGTGGAGAAATTGTGTTGGTTTCTAGGGAAAATGCTCAAGATGCTCCCAAAGAAGGGTTTGCAAGGCTTGTACATTGTACACACTTACAAACAATCTCATCATCCTATCTCAGCCCCCGATCTTGGAAAGCCCGCTTGGGCTTCCTGGACCCTGTGTTCCTTCAAAAGAAAAAGTGTCACACAAGTCATATTGTGAGAGCTTTTTGACACCGGAGCCCCGCCTCAACCGTTTGACCGCCTCGCGGCGTTGCCAAATTGGGAGCTCGGGTTCACCAAATGCTGACTGCCCAGCGCCACGAATGAATATAATGAATGGGGGACGGAAAAACACAGAATCTGCGAGCCGGGCTCCTCAGAACCGGCGAGGAAGACTGGTGATTGGTGAGATGCCCATCATGGGTCAGAGGGCCCTGGGGCTGAGGTAGGTCCATGGGTGACACCAACCACTTGCCTTCATGTTGCTGACAAGGCAAGAGCTGCAAGCCATGAAAGAAGAACTTGGCCAGTGTCAAGAGCAGGCGGCCGTCCCAGGGGGGTGGGGCATGAAAGGAAAGGCTTGGGAAGACGGCTCCTGTTCAAGCCTGTCCGCTTCCCCCACCAACTGGATGTTTCAGGTGGAGAAGCGCAAACATACAGAATTGAAATGAACAATATGGCCCCGATCAAGAACACATTTCATCAAGACTCTCCTGAAAAGGATTTGACTGCAAGGGCTAAGATGGCTAAGGGCGTGTTTGTTTTCTTCATCGTCAGCTACTGTAACCTCTTCCCACTTCCCTGCGTGTTTTCCTTTGCTGCATCCGGCAGGCCACTCAGCTTCAAGGACGTCTCACCACGATCAACCAGGAGATGACGCAGAAGAGCCTCCCGGCGAACCCATGACACTCGCAACGAGCCTCACGAATCGTTCGTTTTGGGTCTTCGGCAAACCGGCAAAGCTCCTTGTGAACGGGAGTCAAGCAAGACTGCAAGACTCTTAATTGCAATGGTGTGTCGTGACTTGGTATTGGAACAAGCACGCACCACGAACGTCAGAACTCTGAGATTCTCTACCAGACCTGACTCCAGTGGAAGTTGGCAGAGAATTTCATCATGAGTTGCTTTATTACTGCTCAATACTGCTCAAGGGTATCTCCCCGAGTTGCGACCCATGCTCCACGCTGTTTCTCAAACTACGCACCACACGAACAACATCCGCAGCTTTCAATCCGCTGTTCACCACGATGTTTCCGACGCCCAGGCGCTCTGCTCAAGAGCATCCAAGCGGAGATGCCCGGAGCCCAGTGGACAATGGAGATGGGGAGCCTTTGTCAGTTCTGGCAGCTGTCGGAACCACAAATTCCGGTTTATTGGCTTTTCATTATGACCACTCAAGCCATTCAGAAGCAAGCATGGGAGCTGGGGTGCATGTTTCAGGGCCAGGCGGCCAGCTTTGCACTTGGCCAGCCTTTTGAGGATCGTTTGGCCAAGCAGCTTTGATCGATCGTTTGCGAATCTTCTATCCCTGCCTTCCCAAAGTAGGAGAGGCTAGGGTCTATGTATGTCGTCTAAGGCTGGATTAGTAGCAGTGGCAGTGATCATCACTGCTCTTTTGATTGTTTTGTGATGTTTTCTGCATTACTGTAATTTGCTTTGCTACGTGCACTGTGACATGAGCCATCACACATGCTCAAAATTGAATCAAACATGCAGCCAGAGGTACAAGGCGGAGAACGAATACATGGCTTGCCTTGAGGCCAGAGGGATCTTCAAAAGGTTAGGGGCTCAAATTCCTGTAGCCACAATACCCTGCAAGACACTGGTTTGAGCTGGTCTTGATCAGGAACATCCTTCACCCTGAAGATATCCCTATCATTTGATCTTATTGACATTCATTCACCGCAGATTAGTCCTTCCTACTTTTCAGTGGTGCAGGGTTTTGTCTAGAACCGACGGCGTGGCCGCATTATTGCAGTTTTGTGGCTTTGACTCACACCATTCTCATGACCTAAAGATCTGTCAATTCCCACAACAAGTGTTCTTGTAATTAATTTCTTATATTCTATAAAATGGCATGCAAGACTTGCAGAGCTACCAAGACAACAGACTTCTCTCCTAACAGAACACTTTTCTCACTTCGATTGTTGATTTGCGCTTCTGAAGACATGTAAACACCGAGCCAAACAGCCTCCACGTCGTTTTTCACTCCCTGAAAGAGTCATGGGCGAACGTGGATGGCGCCCCAAAAGGATGACCATGAAATCCGCATGCTTTCCAGGTGCTTTGTAGCTTTCCAGGGTTCTCCGAGTCACTGGCTTCACCGGTCATGGGTGGTGTTTGGAGGTCCGTTTGGGGTTTCGAGTCTCAGAGTCACTTCGCGACTGTCTGTGGCCTCCCAGGCACAGCCCTCCTTGGTGCATGTCATGAAGTGTGGGAGCTCAGTCTCGTCTCGTGAAGTGGTGCCGAAGTCCGAAGTTGTTCCAGGAAGGAAGTGCTTCGGAGCAGTGGTTTTTCACTGCAAGTCTGGGTGATGTCCTGGAAATTCCGGTTTTTGGTGCTGGGAAGAGCGAGAATCATGGAATGTAAAAGGTGGATTGATGTCAAGAAGTTAGCAGGTCTTAACATCCCACTCCGACAGAAATAGATGGCAATCACTTTGGAATCAATGGCACCCACACAGATATGAATTTGGGCAAAAGTGCCATACATGGAGTTTGGGAATATCATGGAATATCTGAATGCTACACCATCAAATGCTTATTGTTTTTGCACATGCAGACATTAATGACACATTCAAAAGAATAAATGAATAACACTATCTCCTAGAATCGTGGGATGAGTCGCAGACAGACATGAGATGCATGTGGGCAGAAAACTATTCCCATTCCGGATCGATTTAAGCGGAAACTGGACGGTGCCACAAGCAGAGCAGCTGGATCCTCAGCAGGAACATGGAAGAGCAAGGACAACTGCCACACAAAATCCTCCCACTCCGACCAGAGCAAGGACAACCTTCCTCTTGAAGAATTAGACGACGTATTCTCTCGCTTGATGATTTGTTCACTGGGTTTTATGTCCACAGCCTGTTCACACCTCCGTTTCCTGAGGCAAAAGTGATGCCGAGCTGAAGATGTCGCGCGTGGCGCGCAAAAGACACAGAGCGGGGACAACCAGGTCAGCCTGTGGGTGAGGCATTTATGGGACCTGCTATAGACCTAACACAACAGAGACTGAACTGGGCTAGACATGCACAATGCGCGTGCTAACGGCACGCAGACACTCCCCGCTTCAAAATGGAAGCAAGCGCCAACCTTGTATTTCTTGGAGTTTTGGGATCCTGTATGTTGCTCTTTGGGTAAGAGATTTGGTAGTTCACATCGCCAACGGATGCTTGTATAGCAGACAATTGTACGCCTACCCATCGGTAAGAGGGCTCGGAGTCAGAATGGTTCTATCATTTACAAGGTGCCATGATACGCTGTCACAAGTCCTGCAGTGCAGTGGGTTGGCAGCAAAGTGTTTTTCGACACTTCTGTCACACCTAAGAGGATTTACATGGATTTACAATGATTTACATAGATTTACCACAGAAATCCACAGCATGAATCTATGTATAAATGAATTTTCAAAACGGAGGAGGGTTCTCTTCTCGTCCAGCGCAACAAACGCCCGGAAAACCTGCTCCGGCTGTTGGCTCAAGCACCGCGGAGTGGTGCTCAACGAGGAGAGGGTGGGCGGACGTGGATGGGTCGCTACCTGCCAGTGAGGGAGAAGTAACGGGCTTGGGCTCCAGATCTTTGACCTGCCACTACAGAAGGGATAAGAGATGTAAATCTGTACAAGTCGTGGTGGAATCAGGCTGTGAAGGGCCAGTCTGAGATTCTTGCAGGTGTGACAGTTCTTGAGTTGGAGCAAACATTGGTCACACTTGTCACCATCTCGCATGTTGTTCGCATTCCAAAAGCTTTACGACATCATCCTGCCTACGTGCTTTGGCCCATGCTATGCAAATTATCCAAACTCAATGCCATCAGCTTTGGCGCCAAAGTTGTTCTTCTACACCCCAACAATCATGCCGTGCAGCCGTGGCAAGATCCTTGTTCCTCCATCTCTCTTCACTTCCAACGACGATGTTTATCGTTTCCTTCTCCCAAGGATCCGGCTCTTTTTTCAGTCAGGACTCACGTTTTTTGCTAACTACCCCGCATCGACGGACCAGAGCTGAAGGTGCGCCGGACTTGGGGGTGGGACTTGGTGGTGCGGGGCTTCACCCGGGCATGTGGTACTCGAAGGAAGACAGTTTGTTCAAGGGCAAAGAACATTGAGAAAGATCCAGAAGTTGGAGACCACCTTGAAACCCCTCTCAACTGTTTATCATTGCATAATGTCGTCGACTGTTGATGAATAAACCCTCCCATGTATGAAGAGGTTACTCTACACTCCAAAGTTTGGGGGCTTCTGTTCATCTAAGATTAGATTACTACATTAATTAATTACATTGCTACATCGCCGTGTGTTTTCCGCGATGCCCCCGTCTCCCAAGCCGCTGTCGCAGAGTGGAGGCCAATGAGATGCCGCCGACCTTCGCCACTTGGATCGCACGGTCCGCGGTCCGCGGGTCTATCCGGGGGACTTTGGGAGAAGATGGACATGGGCGGTTGGATGAAGGAGAGGTTTGGTCATGGTTTCAGGTCGCAAGAGATGGACCGTATGATGGTAATATATATATAAAGAGATTGAAGATGAAGTCCAGCCAGTTGTAAGTTGTAAGGAAGAACTTATTATTTCGGGGGAAGCTTGTCATTAGCTTGTTGGAGCTGCTTGTCTTAGGCTGTCAGGTTTTGAGGGCGTTCAGAGTGCCACAGGAGTGTTTTCACGCTCGCGCCGACCCGCAGACAATGGCCAAGCTGATGCTTGCAGAATCTTGCAGACACGGAACGGACAGGTGTTAGAAGGGAGAGGGTTAAATTCGCAATACCCAACATATATTGAAACCTGATGTTTTTTGTCGCAGTCTTTGATCCCTGCTATGAATGCAAAGTGTCAAAATACTGTGGTTCTAAAAGGTGGCTCCAGCACAATTACCGGGGAAAGGGCAAGATATGGCCAGATACTAAGCTGAATGATCATCGGCCGATGTCCTTTCCCTTCATGTGGAGGCTTTGCGACGGCCTCGAACGGCTCAGGAGCTCACGGTAGCCAACCTGCTTCCACCAGCGTTTCTGGTCTTCAAAGGGTCGGAGGTGGGAGAGATTTCTCAGAGGGTGGGGGAGGGTGGGAGGGTCGGAGGTCGGAGGTGGGGTCAGGAACATGCGTCTGTTTTCCGCTCCAGAAGCCCTTTGAGGACGGACCGTGGAGGATTTGTTGTTTCGTTTTGGGATCCGGTGAGGACCCTTCCGAATGATTAGGTACAACTGTAGGAGACTGATGTGGCCCCAATTGTTGGGTTGGTGTGATTTTGGGAACCATCGGTGAAACCAGCTGGGCGTCCAGGCAATTCATGCATTTTTCCCTTTCTTAGCGTGCAAAAAGTTAAACAGTCCGTGGTAACTTTGGGATGTGTTTTTTTGCCCCCGCACATGATACGTGGAAGGAGGGCTTTGGTCAAAACTGAGGGGACCGGCCACGGGTAAGGGCAGCTGGAGGGAGGGAGGGAGGGAGGGAGGGAGTGAGGGAGAGAGAGAGAGAGAGAGATACCCCTTGGTGCCTAGCAGTACACTTCCGAGCAGAAAAGGCTGATTTGCATGATTTGCCAAGCATTTCTGTTCAGATCTATCATGATCTACCCTGTCCCGGTTTAGGAAACTTATACTGTAGATGATGAGAGCAATTGGCACCCAGAGTCTCAGAGCGTGGATCCAAGAGCGAACAAGGAAGCTCAGTATGTTGAACTGAGGCTGCTTTAGTCCCACAATTTCCGCAGGGTTGTGTATCATTTTGGGTTGGGTTCCGTTGAACACCCAGAAAAGAAGAACACCAATGGCCATGGGTTTGACATTTTTTGACATCTTTTCTTACATCGTGTTTCTGTTTGCGGTTGGCTGGGACTTTTGGGCGGCCTTGCCAGAGAGGAACCTGAATCGAAGTGCATCTGAGCCATGCCATAAACCAGTGAAGTGCGTAAGAAAAGCCTGCGTGTTGCGTAAGCACCCTCTTACGACATAGGAATCACCCTCAAGCTTTCCAGCACAGCTCATTTGAGGTTTCTGTTGACGCTGGTGTCGGGCAGCTGGTCCTTATACTTTTTCCTGCCCGGATGCCTACCCGCCTTGGGTGTGACGGAGGGAGATTTCGATGAGTAATGGGCGGCGGGGGCAGTCCATAGATCAGAACCCTGTACATGTAAACAGCTAAGGGATATATAAGGGGTCTATTGAATTGGAAAGCATTGCAAATTAGATCAAAAATATATGGCCGAACTGTTTGAACTTGGAACTGTAGCCACCCCGAGCAGAACCGGAATGAAACCGTTCAGGCAGGGCAAAGGGCTCAAACTCAGAGATCCCTTGCGGAGCTGCGCCGCCCAGACGCACCAATGAGCGTGAGCATGAGGCGAATGGAGCCACAAAGTCCAGAGCAGGTGAAGACCAAGGGCCGTGTACAAGCCTTGTGTCCAATTCGAGGCATCAACGCAAAGCTTCCTTCGCTGGGAGCTCTCCTTTAAAGCAGAGAAAACAGTTCGACGAAGAAGGCCGGCAAAGTGAAGGAAGAAAGGAACTTCAAACCTTTTCCAACCAGCCAAGGCCAGATTTGTGTTCAAGGCGCTTTTGGCCCGGACGCCTGCTGAGCTGGCAAATCTAAGCCTGACTTTGACGCCACAACAGTTCCAGCTGAGGATGGTGAACTGGCTGATAGCGAAAGGCAACTTCTCAACAAAGCGATGCAAAGGGCAAGGCGGCCAGCCACGAGTGCTGATGTCGACCGGTGTTTGTCGCCATTGATAGTGTAACATACAACATCATACAACATGTTGACACAGAGAGAGAGAGAGACAGACAGACAGACAGAGCTCGTGCCAAATTTATAGGAAACCGTGTTTCATTTGTTGAGTGCTTCGATGTGTTTCAACTCTATGATACTCTATGTCATGAGTGAGACTCCTTGTGCAATCCCCTTCCTTTCCCGTCATTGGTTCATTTAGAGCAAAACAGCAACACTGCCAATCAGACCAGACCGACTTAGGCATGTGCTGCCTCAGTTGCAGCTCACCTTGCCATTCGACCACTACAACGCAGAGGCTCCAATCGGCAAGTCTCACAGTCATGTGACATGTGGGGGCTGGGCTGTTCTAGGAGCATCATGTACAGATGAGCGTGTATCGACGTAGTACTCCAATGCAAGATGGAGGTTTGATCGGCAGATAGAGCATGGGGCGGGTTTTTTTCGGCGTGCGGTGCTGTATCTCTGTCTACAGAGAAAGAGGATCGTACCAGAGGATCCACCCCCAATGATAGGCCGCGAGTGTTGTTTTCGCAATGACGGTGTCTTTGCTGGTGCGTTGGAGGAGGGAGGCTGGAAGTGGAAATTCTAGATGCACAAATGCACAGCGCTTCTGCAATCTCGAAGAAGATTGAGCACATGGGCTGGCAACGAAGTGCAGAAGTTTTCGCTTACGCAACGAAAAGGCGTCTAACATACTTGATTTCTCTCCAATCAGTGGGCTTACAGGCTTACATGGAGTTCAAACAGTCACTGCCAGCGACCTGATGCAAGCATTTCCTCTCCAATCAAGGGGCTTTCTCTCCCTGAAAACGAATCCAAATCCAAAGCGCGCCGGACGACCTGGGCCGATGCATGTGGCCCGGCCGACTGGCCTGGCTGGCGCTGAATGCTTCCGACCAGTGGACGAGCCTGTTCAACGGGAGCTACTTCCGGAGGCAACGGCGGGTCGGTTGGGTTTGGCATGTTTGGTTCTTTTCTTCCAACGGTTTGAGAGGTTGGCCGGAGCCTGATACTCACGGATGGCTTCAAGATTCAAGATGTGTCCAATACTCCCCAATAATCCACAGGAATCAACAACTGGCCCAAGAGGTGAAAGAGTCTTAGGTGTTTTATTCCATCTTGTGGCATGACATGGCATGACTCTTCTATCGATTTTGGGCAGCACCCGAACCCATTGGAGGGAGGATGGATTCAAGTATCAATCAAGTATCAATCAACATGATCCCAGGTCATTCCAATTTCGCCCCGGACTCTCTATAGAGAACCCTAGAACATGGAATTCGGCTCCAAGCCCATTGGTGGTGTGAGTCCAACCTGACGCTCCAGGGTCCCACCTGACACCCTCAAAGAGCTAAGAGGCTTCTTCCCCCTATGGATCCACATACCTTCTGAGAAGGTATGTGGATCCCTAGGGTCCCAAATGAACCCTTGGGAGGCTCGACTGCGAGGATGATCGGCGCTCCTCGTCGGTGGATATATTGTGGGCGTGGCGGGGGCGACGATGGCGGAAAGCTGCGGCCGGGGGAGCCGACCTGAAGGAAAGCTGGGGTGATCTGGAAGGGATTTGTATATATAGATACACTCCCAAATTAGAAAAGTAGATCCCCACTAAACATGATGATGTCTTGAATACCGTTTCTATCTATTTGGGGATCAATATAGCATAATCTTCGACACAAGATGTGAAAGGAGTCTTCGGATTCGAACGGAGCTGGATGTGGGTGGATTCGGCCTGCCTTTTGATTTTGGGAAAGGTTCCCTTATAAACCTCCAGTGTTTGACCCACCGGAGGCAGAGGAAACAAAAGCAGCCTTGATCAACAAATTTTGACCAAGCTTAGCATGATCACCATTAACCCGCCACCAATCATGTATGGTTTCATTCAACAGGAAGATTATGGAAGATTGTGGTTCACAGGGGATGTAATCAGTCCATCTATGGGAGAAGTCCTGCAAGTTTGGAAGAAGATCTTCGGAACAAGTGCTTCGAAAGCTTCACACATGCAGCCATTCGTGTGAACATGAGTTCCGGGCCTTTCCATGCAGCAACAAATGCAAAAATAGTGATACTGTTTCGCACATTGCTGTCATTTTTTCCAGAAATATCCCGGCCAAAGAGCTGCGTCTCCGCGCAACCTGCTTGCGCAAGGTTGGTCATCCTTCCGTCGTCAGTTGGAGACGCTCCTGGCGAAGGGATCTTTGGATGCAAGTGGCGGTGGACGCATCCGCTGCAAGGGCGGAGAAATGGTATATAAATATATATATATATTATAGGATTATAGGGAAATCATGCCAGAACCAGAAAACCCAAAGTGCTAGATCCAGTCGCTTGCTGCTCTGGGGAATCTGAACGGTTTCACCGAGTTTGTGCCATGATAGATCAGCATCGCATGAATCCGTAGCCACTTGCTATGGACCAACAGCGACATTGGTACAGATTTCATTGGTACAGATTCAAGGACTTGTGAGGCGGTAAATTGACTGCAGAATACAAAAGAAAGGCAAATCCACTTCCAACAATGGAAAGCCTTCCTTTCATATCTTTCATGTTCTTTTGTATTGGTTGTTCTTTGTTTGAGTCCAATCCATGTGCCCAGAATGTGCTTCCAAAAGGAGTTTCGGTCAGGGTGGCCATTGTCAACTGCGCCCGCCATTTTCGTGCGTTCGAAGGACGCTTGGTCGGTGAGGATGTGCTGCTCGGCCGTAGCAACACCCAGACGCTCTATAAGGTGGTTTCATGTAGGAATATATACTGTATATTCCAGACATGGAGTGTTTGGGACATGGTGGTGATGTGGCAGTCGTGTGGGATATGCTCGGAGATGCTAAGAATAAAACAAGGGAAACACATCATCCAAATGTTCAAGCCAAAACTCAGGGGTAAATGTCGTCGGGTGCCCTGTCATTCTGACGTACGCCCACATCATTTGATTGTTCTTTCAGCAATGCCAGAGATTGGGAACGAGATCAAGTCAATGATCATTCAAATGCCATGTTGGGTTTTGATCATTGATGGTCTATAGACACTTGCACCTTCCAACAGGTCTCCCTTGGTCTCACAATTTAAGATCGCGAGGTACACTTGTCGTATACAAGCTCCTGGCCAGATAGATGCCACGGCAAAATACACAAACAGGCTGGCCAGTTCTGGATGGATGAAGATCCACAACATGAAGAAATTACTTCAGGTGTCTACACTCGGGAGGTGTGAAGTCAAATACGTCGCTTCACAACATTCCATACACATTCAAAGAGAGTGTGATTCTGCAGATTCCTTTGTTCTCTTCTCCAGTTTCCCTAAAAGCATCTAAAAGCCATTTACTGCAGGGTTCAGAGTTCAGACCCATGGGCACGGTTGCGGTTAGCTCCACCAAGCAGTCCTGGTCCTGGTCCCTCGCTTTGGGTTTGGATCACTCCCAAGGGCCTTGCAAGCAACTGCTGAAGAGCTCTTGACCCCTTGGGACGAGAAGCCCAGAGGTGGCCCGAGCGAGTAACGACCAGCGATGCGAACGAGCTCGTGAGGAGCAATTCCGTTGGTTGAACGAGAGAGAGAGAGAGAGACGGATCTTTCAAGGCAGAGATGTTGTTTCTCTTAACAATATATGTTTTGGGGAGGTTGCTTTTAAGAGTTTGCTCACATCGCGGATTTGTTGGGTCATGAAAGGGTGTGCCCATACCAGAGGAGTCCAGTATATCTTGATGAAGGAAATCCTGCGTCCGCCAGCTGGCATAAACAAGACCCCGGATTCATAGGGAGATATCCTTCATTTTAATCCATGTTTGGCGCTTCACTTACACGACTTACAGATGTTTTCCTGTAAACTAGCAGCAGAAATACCATAGATCAAATGTGCAATCCTTCACCCTGCGCCGCCGAACGAGACGTCTTCCAAGCCGCCACCGAAGCCTTCCGCGCTCGGCTGCTGGCTGCGACTGCCCCGTCCGCACCACGAACGACGAGCAGAATGGGCCTGTGCTTTCCAGGCCTGGAAGGAAAAGTTCAAGAAGGGCTTGGCTTCTTCAAGTAGCTTACCCCTTAGGATTTTGAACAGTGACCCGCTTTTTTTTGGGCAGCTTGAGACGGAAACCTGCACGGTGATTTTGCCGGGGCTGGGTTGAGACTCGTAATCAGATCGAAGAGAACGAAGATGCACTCTGTGCGATCAATTGTTTCTCTCCTTCAACAGAATGAATAGGAGTTCTGATGCCTTTTCGAGAAGGAACGTCAATCAACAGTAGTTGCAAGAGTGGTCACCAAAATACATGTGATGTGAAAAGGGTGGAAGCACATTTACGTGTGAATTGGACGCTTGATGAAGTTTTCAAGGTGAAATGACAGCTTCCAGATCTTCCAGCATTTTTGGTTCTGAGCGAGGTGAGCTGACAGTGCCAGCCTCACCACTAGTGGTATGCAAGTGTGCCTAGACCTATAGACAGGCCTCGCTTTTAAAAGCCCAAGTCCTCTCAGCGTCGCGCAGGTTACCAAGCCGCCTGCTGGGTTCGCATCCTTGGTCTCCACACCACGCTGGCGCAGGGCGCGCGGGAGGATGCGCAGGAGCTGGAGATCATGATAGAGACCAATGCGTGGCTTGAGAAGAAACAGCGATGGGTTGAGATTGATATTTATATATATATATATATATCATGTAGTACTTATCTTGTGTTTGCTTTGGTGTCCAATGCGTGGCAAACATATGGGGAATGTGTTTTGATGGTATTATTTGTGGGAAGTGAATACGTGCAGAATCTCTAGCACTCAATGAAGCACATCCGAGAAGTGGATGGAGAAGAAAGCGGATTGCTGAATCAGTGGTGCTTCGTAGCCTACACTGTAGGTGTTTCTTTGTGTTTGGTGTGGTCAAGACCTGTTGTTCACTCGTTGCAACTGCTGGCTGGAATTGGAAGTGGCCACTTCTGAGTGTGCATTTGAATTGAAAGGTCTCGAACCAAAGGGTGCTTGTTCCTATCCGCTGGTACGTTCCTTCTTCCAGGGGGTTGTTGCCGGGGGGTCTCCCTCTTTTAAATACACGCTCACTTGGCCGCTTCTGAAACCGACTTGGCCGAAGGGGGTGGACCGAATCCATCGAGCTGACCGAGCTAACTGAGCCCACCTCGACGGAAAAAGAGCCCACTTGCGGGAGTCAACAAATGGGGCATTGGAAGACGCATGTGACCGTTTGCTTGGAGGTAAGGAATGAAGGAAGGACTATTACTATTTGTGAAGGAAGAGCGCAAATTGAATTTGGATGAGTTTGGGTTCATTTCAAGAATGCCTTGAGGATGTTTCCCTTTTTGGAGGTCATTCCTTCATTCATTCCCTGCCAAGTCCTTGTTGCGGATTGAAAACCTTCTTCGGAGAGCTCCACACGCTACACCCTATAAGGCAACACTGCTCCAGCATCTTTGGAAAGGAGGCGCGGACATGCTCGTGTGGTGGCGGGTTGTCGTTGAATGTTCCACTATGTCCATTGAGGCTACTTCTGTCGCTTACGTTCTCTAAAGCGGAGCCTTTGGCCATAGGACTGTTCGTTTAACTTCCGACTCGGCAGAACTATATGCACCAAAATCCAAGCGTGGTCATACTAAATATATAGCTCAAAATCTCACAACTATAGAGGCCAGCCAATTCTCTCCGCCCATGGACCGAGCGCTTGACCCTCCGGCCGTCACAAGCTCCCTCGATGGTCCGCGCAGTCGAGGCCTCGCTGGAGTACTTGAGCTCGACGAGTTGGCCCGTGAGGCTGTTGGATTTGGAGCTCTTCATGCGAAGCTGTGCCTTGGCTGGTCTTATGATCGGCGCGGGTGACCGGCTCGCAGGTTCGCAGGCTGTGTCGGTATGTCGGTACTTGATGGCATACACAAACACAGAGTAGCCTTGACATGCCTTGAACCCGGAAGTATAACAACTCCAATGTTTTCCTGTAGATCTGCGTGTATCCAAAATTTGTGAAGGTCTGTCAAGCAAGCTCCTAAACAATCCCAACCCATCCCAACCTAGCTTTTTCACATCGCTTACAGCCCGCCAAATTTGGTAGATCCACACTCCTCTTCCGTGTCTGGGGGCACTTCGGGCCCTAAGAATCTCCCACTTCAATCTGACAGATCGTTTTGGACATGGACAGATCCTTCCTTTACAACCTGCAGGGCAATTCTTCCACCGGGTCCGCCTCCGAGTCCGCGGTTCTTCGTGCCCAGCGCCGCACCGTTCCGAGGCCCTGATGCCGCGTTTGGCATGCGACGGATGCGGACCGCGGAGACGGGACGGGGGGTGAAAGGTTGGCGAAGGGAGTGGATGCATCATGGCATCCATGGGACACAGGACCATGTGACCCCATGTGTTGTAAGAGGAAACACTTGTGACTTGTCTGTGTGTTTTCTTGTTTTTCTATGCGATTGCAACAGCCTGAGATGGGCGAAGGGGTATTTTTACACCTTTGTTGTGGTACCTGCAGCTATATTTTGGAACCCAGACAAAAGATTTGACGACACCCCATACCCCATCATTTGATTGTTGTCAACGCTCAGAATCGCCTTGGCTGAAGAAGGATTCAAAACAGCACCTGTACGAGCAGTTTCGCACTCTGAAGAAGGAGACATCTCATCATACTGGTGGTGGGTCAGTAAATCGGTGAGTTCATCTCCGTGCGAATGATGAACTCGCACCCCAATTCAGGACGCTGCCGGTTGAGATCCAAACCTTTGAGCACTTCCGCCAGCTCCTTCGTCGCCCAGCCGTGGAGTCCAGTGCTCCGCGGAGGTTCACACCGAGCTCCGGAGATGGAGGCACATGACAGAGCTGGAGGGGTGGATAGGATGTGAGACGATGTGAGGATCAAAGGCAGTAATTAAGCATAATGACACCCTGGAAGAGACCCACATGGAACCTGAAAACAACAGAGTTGTAGAGGAACATACAGTAGTCTTCCAAAGGTCCATGTTCAGGTTCCATGTTAACCTTCCCGGGTGCAGTAGTTGTTGTATGGTGTTGTTTACTTTTAGGGTGGGGGAAGACCGGGGAAGATGGGTTGAATATGGTTGAATCATGTTGAATCTATATGGTGAATCTCTCTATATATATATATATGTGAATCTCAGGCTGACAGGCCAAAGGGACGCACTTATATAAGTCAGTCCAAGTCACAATATGCTGCCGCAGAGTGTGATGGGGTTCTCATGTGGTGGTTGAAACCTTAAGCGAACACGAAGACTCTCAAACCAAGTGGTATGATTCCTTGCCGAGCTGCTCTGAGTGCTTGATCCCAGTATATGGGAACACATTAAGCTATATTAAATCTTAAAGCGACATGTATATATTTTAGCAGTGAATAACTCTTTCAGACATGTTCCCAACACATTTGCATATATTTGCCGTGTTGTAGTTGTGTGTTGAGCCAAATCCCTCGCTGGACGCCGCTGGAGGCCTCGCTCCGTGGTCCCCGACGCTGCGGGTGACCTCCGTCTTCGGCGCCTGGGATGTCGTGGCGGCGTGCACGGGCTACACGGGGTCCAAACCCGTCAGGTCCGACTCTTTTGATTCGTAAATGCCTCTCCCATCCCTCTCCCCTTCCCCTTGGATTTAAAGGAGAACTTCTTCATATTATGGTGGTGTTTTAAAGGGGTCAGGTGGTTTTTTAAATTCATTTAAGAGTCTATACAAGAAGGTATAGACAGGGTTCATCCTGGAAAACCCACCGCCTAGCGCGACTTGCATGACTCGCCCCAGACAAACATTGTCCGGTTTGGTTTTGGCAAACGATGTTAGGCCGAACCCCCCCAGTTCCGGTGCCACATGATGGATAGGATGGATAGGTTTCATGTATCAGCAAGCCACCTGAGATGGAGTCCAGTTCTCAACAGAGCAACCTATAGGGTCGCTTTGAAAAGATTGTCGTTCTAGTACTTCCCTTTCTAGCAAAATCCAAGAGGTTAATAAATCATTGCACTCAATAAAGTTAATTTTCGGGAGGAGCATCCCAATGAGCCCATTGCAAGTCCAAGGTGGTCATTGCTCTTTGTGGCTGGAGACATTGCAGCTCCGAAGAATTAAAACAGAGAACCGCAGAGGCTCCTTTTTCAAATCTTGGCAAAGAAGCGAAAGAGCAAATGTTAAAGAATCCCTGTATACTAAACAAGGGCACTGTACAAGTAGGGTTTGTGCCATTTTCTTTGGAGGTTTACCTAAGGTATCCACTTTTCATGTTTTTGATTTAACATCACACAGGAGTTCGTTCACTGGACCTTCATGGCTGAACCCGTGGTATCCTCTAACCCTAGAATCCCAGTCCCAAACCCCCGCAAGACATCACTGCAGTGTCACTAAAATCCACGCATGAGGAAGAACTCGCTAGACACTCTCATAGCATTAAGATCAGTGGAACTGAGGTACACCCTTTGGAGCCTCTTCGCAGACTTGATCGATCCGTTCCTGGTCACCTACAACCACGAGGATGGCCGCTTGAAGGAAATTCCGGACCCTCAGGAGCTTCGGGTGGGGTGTGGAGCCGGCTCACGACGTGGAGCCAAGGTAAGCCAACAGCATACTGTGGTAATTCTTCTCCAAGCGAATCAACAGTATGCTGTTTGGTGTCCTATGATTCTGCTGAAATGGTGTCGACGTGCTCCAAGTAGCGAAGTGTTTTGGACCCTTTGGTGATTCCCAAGTGCCCAAAGGAATATCAAGACATGCCGGGGGGACCTCATGCTAGTTCTTTTACTAGCTACCGGAGGTGAACATCTTCATCCTATAGTTTGCGTTGCTTCGGGAGATTTGATCTACATACCCAAGGGCCATTCTTGGGATATGTCATGATTTGTCCCTATTCTTGGGTATCTATCTACCAGCAATTGTTTGAACCAGCACAAGGGCAAGCAACCGCCAGACCCCTCTAGCAGGCTCCAACCTGCACCCAAGAACCCCTCACTTATGACACCACCACCACCGCCGCAGCTGCCGCCGACCACACCACCGGCAAGCTCCGCCCAGGTTGCCTCGAGCGCTTCGGCTTGCGCGACGTCCTCCCACATGCGCCTGTCCTGGGTGACGAAGAGCAAGGCTCCCGAGGATCTGTCGACCAAATGTTGCGCTCCTCTGATCTTCTGGTTTGCATGTGGGTCTCGGCCGCTGGGACATCCAAGTTCTCCAGATGTTGGGGAGCTGGGAGTCAAAGTTGTTACATGTGTTTACTCTTTGGTTTTTGCATGGGATGGGGACATCTCGTGATTAGGACTGGCTTCCAGGATCTTCGAGGGCTTTCGCACATGATGGCATTTAGAAGAAGCGTGGCCAGAAATCTAGGGTTTGGGGGAGAAAAGCTGCAGCTGCTGTTTTGTCTGAAGGAAAGAGCAGGCCATTTGCATGGATGTTTCAGTTTTGGCTGAAGAAGATCCTTTGAAGTTGAATACAGAATTGTACTTGGGATGGTGTGTGGAATCCGGATGGATAAAGCATTGGGATTACCTGGGATTACCTGGATTGTCTGTGTTCATCTCGTCCCAGGAATGTTCACGACTTCGAGCTCACTATTCCAAGCCAGTGATTTTCTACAGCGGCTTCTTGCTGCTGAATGATCAGTCATTTCATCCAGGCAGGGTCACTCTATCTACATCTCTATGTACTATAGAAGCTGTTCAATTTGCATGTTGGTATGATATTTGGTCTCTCCTGTCTGAACCCTGCTAGCCCGGTCACATTCTACCTCCCCCAACAAACGGAAGTCACCGTTACATGGAGCCGGACCTTCAGGGGTCCCGGCCGGCCTTGACCAGGTCACGCTTGGTCCGAAGCGTTGTTCCACTTTTGGCAACGCCTTTCCGACCTCTTCGCCTGTGACGTACTGGCCGCGAAGGACGGCACCCCAGTGGTGGGCCCGCCGTGCTTGGTGCTCTTTGAGGAGCGGCCCTTGGCAGAGGTCGCCTACTGGCAGACCGGGCAGCGAAAGCCAGTGGTCTCCTGCCAGATGAAGGAAAATGATGGAACATGAACATGACCCTCTGACCGACACAAGATGCAAGTGGAACTTGAGATACCCATGTTCAATCCACAAACAGGCGGGGGTTGAGGCCGTGGACTGTGTGTGGTTTTGCTTGGTTGGGTTTGGTTGTGAATTCATCGACGCAAAAGGCGGTGTCTTTTTTGGTTGGGACTATTGGGTTACATTTGTGTCGTTGCTGCGCTCCAAATCTCCAGCGTGCGGCGTAGTGGGTGATCAACTGAAGGGGGTTGGTGCAGATTTCGGCGATGGGATCTTGAGATGTTGGAGTCCAAGGCAATTGCCTTGCTTTTAGATTGTTGTTTGATGGTGCCGGGACATTTGAGGCCAGACGTCTTTTAAAGCCAAGGAGAGTGCAGCAAAAAGGACAGAAGCTGAAGCTGTTTGAAGTACCACTGACAGACTACACCAGTCCTGTCAAGAGTTGCTGTCAATGATGTCATCGTTGTTCCTTGTAAGATGTTCAACTTACTGACACTGTCCTTCTCGATTCCGCCCTAGCTCCTTGCCCAGCAACCCACACACAAAGGGAAAAGATCTCTCAAGACACAAAGGTGCGGCCTTCTATGCGCCTCATGTCACATACGCCCAGGTTCGGCCATTGTCCCTCTACGTTCCTTGGCTGGGCTGTGTTTCTTTTTCCGGTGGACCGCAGGATGGAATCTTTATCGGTGGTTCTTTTCTTTGGCGCACAGTCGCCCATTGAATTTGAGTCAGTACTTCCGTCTCGGAAGGCTTGATTTGAGACTTCTGTTGGCTTTGGAGTCTGGCCAAAATGATCCAACATGACTAGATATATATATATATTATAATATATCTACACAGTATATAGATAGATATGCCACCCTTCTCAGAGCCCAAGTGATTTTATTCACTTAAGACTTCTATTTTCATGGAAACACACGACGCCTGAGGTGCGGTGCCTCCATGACCCCGAGAATGCCAAGCAGGAGGTTCTCATCATCCACCGTGGCCGCCTGACCTCCGACGGCCCCTTGACCGGGGCTCACAGATTCTGACGGAGCAGCCGGCTGGGGCAGGTTTTTTGGTAAGTGTTTTGGTTTGGTCCCTATTTTAATACTAAGGACCACTTGGAGTACCTCCAGTATTTTTGGGGATCCTTTCAGAGTCATCCAAGGGCACCTGGAAACCCAGGCGTTCCATCGCTGTGAAAGGGATTGTGGACAATCATTCCGCAGTTGCATGGAAGGCTTGGGATATCTTGGAACAAGCCAGGAGAAGATTGTTGACTTTGAGAGCACCCACTGCTGCTGCGTCATGCTCAATATAAGTATTGACCTCCCCTGAACTCCCCTGGTACTGTAGGGTGAACCTTCACTTACTAGGGTCTTGGAGGTCTCGGACGACCGGTCGCAAGGGTTGTAGAACCCTCTGAAAAGCGAACGGATCCCCGCCCGATTCTGCAGGAACGGAAGCCAAGGCACTGAATGCCATGAAGCATGCGTTCTACCCATACAGCGCCTTTGAGGGAGGGAAGGATGACTGAATCGCTGGGCGGAGCTTTTTTTATCAATGCCAGGGGAGGAGGTGTTGCTGGTCAAATCGGGCGTGTGAGATCGAGCCCTTCAGGGTACCCGGAGAGCTGCTCTACCATGAGACCCGCACCGTGCTGGTGAAAACTTGTTGCTTGTGTCCGAAGTGTCGACAGACTGCTGCCAAGTGTCGAAGAGTTTTGATAGCAAGAGTTCGGTTTGGGCAGCTCCCCAAGATACAGCTGCAACGCATGGCGAATAGGTCTTCACGGAGCCTTGGGTTTTGACTATGTCTCGACGTCTCGACTATATTTCCCGGTCTTTCGAGCCATCCAGGGGTGTTCATGTTTGGAGCCACTGCAAGGAGATCCGCCCGACTGCGACGCACCATTCTTTTGTTGCAAATGCTCGAGGCTTCGTGGATCAAGAAGATGGGATGCCCTTTGCTTCCATGGCGGAATTCCGATCTGTGGTGCTCCTACCATGGGACTTGAATCTGGTGATGTTTCTTGGCCAGTTTCTGCGCTGCTTGGATGTTCAAAGACTGAAAAGCAATGCAGAGCATGTCAGGCTTGGGGGTGGGCTAGCCGAACTGTTCATTATAGGTAGGTGCATTCCCAAATCATAGTGTTTCTCGCAAACAAATGTCCACTTGTTAGTGGCAAAAGAGTTGATTGACATTTTTGGACTGTGGGCGTGTTCCCTTCAATCCTGATGTTCAATTGGCTTGGTGTCTCTGAAGTTCGTCAGCAGGTTGAACAATTCCTTGGAGCTGGTGAGAGTGAACAGTTCAATGCGTACCAAAGAAATAAAGGGTCCAACTGGGTCTTGATACATCTACTCAGCCCACCTGGTTGTATGATAGTATGAATGTTTTCATCTATGTTGGTCTCTGCCACTTTGGAGCACCACAGGGGAGCTGTTTAGCCTCAGTTTGCCTTTTGGAGAGACAGAGATCCCGTTTCACTGTCTCAGACCTGCGTCTTGGCCTCGCCATGGACACCGTCGAGGCCAAGGCCGAGGCTGAGTCGCCGAGTCGCGTGAGCATCAACGTGCTGCTGCCCAGCGGGCGCTCGGAAACCGTCACCTTGCCATCGACATCGAAGTGTCTTGTCAACAGATGAGATGGGGGGATTGTCATGGGAATATGATGGAATATGCAGAAGATCTGTGATTGGAATATGCAGATGAGATGGGGGATTGTCATGAGAATATGCAGATGTACGACTTGGCCTTCAGTCTTCTACATGGCATTCATCGTCATAGACCGGGGTCTCCGGAGTTGAGCATACAATCTGATGGCAAGACTCCCTCACTCATCAGTGGAGCTGGCATCATGGAAACTGGAGTCATCCCTTCCCATGGTGCGTATGGTGTTCCCTTTTTCGAGGAACTGGTCGCCACCAATTGCAGCTACCCACCAAAGGCCCTTCAACCGTCCCTCAGATTTCACTTTCTGGCCAAAGATATGATTGGACACTGTCCAACGTACCAAGAGTAGCACGAGATGCAAGGACCCTGGTGGGTGAACTCTGGAAATTCATTGGAAGGTAGTCCAATTCACTGGCTTTCCATGAGTCCCGGTCTCAAAGGTCATGGACCTGCCAGTTCGGTCACACGCCCCTGGAGACAGGAAAACCTTCTATGGATGTACCAAACCCCCTTGCTGCTTGCTGGTTGCTGCAATTTGAACCCTGCCAGACATGGGAAGCAAGTGATGTTTTAGGCTCTTGGAGCTAAAGCTGGCGGCGCAGAAGGCACTTCAACAAGGCTTTTTGCGGTTGCTCTCGCGCGATGGCCACTTTCTGGACCTCACCGAGTCCTTGGAAAGTGCTGGACTGCAAGATGGAGACGCTTAATATGCACGCACAGTTGAGAGGGGTGTGTGCTTTCCTACCGTCAGTCCGGTCTGGGATGGGATCCAGGATCATTGAAACCTGGCCAGGTTCAACAAGACCTGGCAAACAGAATAAGGAACCTCTACACTCCCGCAAACTCACATGGACCCGGGTCGAATGGCACCCTGAAAGACGGTTTTCCTTGACAAACCAGCGGTTTTCAGGGTCCATGGGATCGTTTTCAGCGGGTTATATAACCAAGCAACACTGACTTCTTCCGCAGGGTCTCGAGACTCGAGGGCTGAAGACAGTGAAGAGAAGCTCTACACAGTGAGAAGGTGAACTTACAAATCGTCCAGAATGAAAAAGGCGGCAAGGCACTAGCAGTTGCAGGAAAGCTGTAATGTTCTACGTACCATTTTCTATAGCCCCGACAGCTCCAAGTCGGTGATACGCCCGAGTGGATAGAAGCTAGGCCAAAATACTACAAGAGCATTTCACGTATAGTTTGCAGGTAGTGATTTGATGCATGCCAAGCCCAACTGTTTTAAGCAGCAGTCATCGGCAAAAAGGCAAGACCAAGAGGCATTTTTCGCATCTACAGTGTCTATAGCCTGGATCTTGGGGCCATCTTGAAGGATTATCTTGAGTCAACCTTGTCACCACCCAGAACAAGTTACACATGTTTGGATTTCCCAACATCTTCATGTGTTTGGGGTGTTAGCCAACCATGCAGAGAGCTCATTCAATTAGCTCAAAACTCAAGGAATTGATTAGGTCACTCACCCCCAGAACCAATCAACCTCCTCACGCGTCAGTGAGTTTCTTGAGGATGCATGTGATGGGACCGATCAATCTCACAGTCAAAAAGCCAAGGCATAGCTCCAGAGAGCACCGATCCTCCGAATTCTTCACATTCGCAACTCTTCAGGGCCGAACACCGGGGACGCCTGCCTTCGCCGGAAACAGGAGTAGTCTTGCTTCCCCTGGTTCACACGAAAAACCGTGAAAACAAATATAAACCTTGAATTCCACCCTGCCCCCCCTGTCCTTACTTCTTGCCCCACAAGATTCATACATTGTGAAGCCCCCAGCCAGGATGACGTGAGTGCTATCGCATCCATCGCCCACGTGGCACGGACTCCGTGGGCCTTCGCGCTGTGGTGCCGTGGTGGCCAAGTCGTGACGTGGGGCGATGCACTTCACGGCGGTGACAGCGAGGCGGTTCAGAGAGACCTCAGAAGCTTGGATGCGGTAGACCACTCCGGGGTGTTTGAGGCAATCTCCAGATGCGTTCTTGAGTTCGTGACACTGGCTTATTATATAGGTTGTTCTTACACCCTGATTCATGTGTTTTGTTCCAAGATCATGCTCCCGTCCTTGTTCATCCGACTCTTGCCCTTGGACCAAAAGATGAGGAGATGTCATCGACATCCAAGCCACCAATGCGGCTTTCGCTGCCACGTTGGCCAATGGACGTGTCGTGACCTGGGGCGACAGAGGTTTCGGTGGTGACTGCCACCACCTGCAGGAGGAACTCCAAAACGTTCAGCAGATTGCTGCGGCGCACAATGGGGCTTTCGCTGCCCTGCTGGGTGGACGAGTGGTGGCATGGGGTCATGCACAGGAAGGCGAGAGAGGGTTTTGGAGCAAGATATACCCGGATAATAGGCACCTGCAGAGGATTTGGCACATATTTGAAGCTGACCAGTGTGAGGTTTAAAGAAAATCACCAAGCCTGGAAGCTGGTAAGTGGTGGAGCCGGCTGAGAGTGTATTGGAGGTATGGATAGTGCTTTCAAGAAGTTGTAGTTCTCAACAGCCTAGCGAAAGACCACCATTCTCCATGCCCTGCCGACCTGGGGTTCTTGAAAATGATGCCTTCAGAACTGCAGACGTTGACCAGTTTTGATACTTGGATGCAAACAGCATATGCTGGGGCAAGAGTTGACAAAGCCCTTTGGATTGAGGGTAAGGGGTCGAAGACTTCTCTCATTTGAACATAGGCTTGATACCTAGCCACTGGCCGCTGAACACTTCAACATCTCGTAGCAATGCTTCGGGTGAGCCCCATTAGATGCAAGTTTAAGCAATGCAACCTTGCCAACATGATCGGCGAGGTGGTGATTGCCGTGCAGTGCAGGATCAACTTCAAAACGTTCGAGAGATCTTTTCAACTGATGGTGCCTTCGCGGCTTTGCTTCAAAATGGAGGAGTTGTTGCATGGGGCGATCCAGTGTTTGGTGGTGACAGCAGTTTGGTTCAGGATCAACTAGAACATGTGCAAGAGATCCACACCTGCGGATTTGCTTTTGCTGCAGTTTTGCATGATCGACGTGTGGTGACATGGGGCGCCTCAGGGTATGGTGGCGACAGCACGGAGGTGCAGGATCAGCTTGAAAACGTTCAGGAGATCTATGCAACACATTGGGCCTTCGCCGCCGTGCTGAGCACTCGACGAGTCGTTACATGGGGTGTGGCGGAGTCTGGTGGCGATAGCAGCCTGGTGCAGGATGAGCTGAGAGATGTGAAGAAGATCTATGCCAATGAGAAGGCCTTTGCAGCAGTCCTCAGCAATGATACCGTGGTTACATGGGGTGATGCCAAGTCTGGTGGTGACAGCAGCCATGTACGAGATCGACTGAAGAATGTGAAGGAGATCATGGGCACTGCAGAAGGGGCCTTCGCTGCACTCTTAGGTGGGGACGGGCCAAAGCCATTGATATCTAAAGTTTGCGTCGCTTCAGCAGGTTCATTCACTGAAAGTTTCTTCTGAGCCACTGCCAGGTGATGAAACAGTTGTTACTTGGGGTGCTATGGAGCAAGGAGGGGACAGCCGCCATGTGGAGCATCAGCTGCAGGGAGTGCAGAGCATTCATGCAACGCGATGCGCCTTTGCTACCTGGGATTTGCCTAGTGAGTTTCATGTGTTTCTTCTGAACCTCCCAGACATTTGCTGGGTTTTTGAGCTTAGTCACCCTCCCTCCCACAAGTTCCAAGAAGTGCAGGCTTGGAGCTTCTGACATTTTGTGCGAGTGGGTTGTATATTTAAGAATTCCAGTCCAAAAGATATCCAATTTGGTCAAACTTCTCAGGGATCTTTAGGTGGGACATGAAAAGGGCTCCTTGTTGGAAAACCCTCAATAGAAAGAAGAACACCCAAACATTGAATCGAACAAGCAGGTGTTTGTCTTGCGGGTCTGTGACTCCAAGCCCTCTACGGTGACTCCGAGACTCCTCGAACTCCGTGGCTCCACCGGACGGAACGCGTTCGGCGAACGCGTTCGGCCAACGCAGGCGGCGCTCCTCCGAGAGGGTCGCGTGATCACGTGGGGCGACGCGAGATACGGCGGCGACTGCTGGCAGGTTCAGGAGCAGCTGAAGCAGGTGAGATAGGATAGTGAACATGTTTTATTGTACTGTCAACATGGTTTTATTGCCTGGTTCACTCTCCTGCCTGGTGTTTGTACTTTGGGGGAAGGGTAGAACACCCCATGTTCGAAGCTTACATTAGTTATTGTTCCACGGGGTTTCTTGGGTTCAAAAAGATGTCCTCCTCTGGTCATAAAAATCAAACCTGCAAGTGGATGCAATAGCCCAATTCAAGGCTATCCGACTATCCTCTACAAACGAGGTGTGTTCTGTTTCACGTGTGTTTCCAGCCATCCCTCAGGTGCAACAGATCCATGGTGCCGATGATGCCTTCGTTGCAGTGCTGCGTGATGGTGCGGTGGTCACGTGGGGTGACCCTCGTTGTGGCGGTGACAGTAGTCGGGTCCAAGAGCAACTTCGCTGCCTTTGAATCTGTGTGACGGTGGCAGAAAAAGGACTTGGCTGCAAAAACGGGGGAGACTATGGGAGATTGATCAACAACCCAAACAACAAAAAATGACTCTTTAATTGATGCGACAGGCGACAGGTGTGCTTGAGTTGAAGGCATAAACATGCACACAAAAGAAGAAGAAAGAGGAAGAGAGTATGAAACATGGTTTCATTACTCGTACTGCTGGACTCTAGACTCTAGACCTTTTCCAGAAAAGAGCCATCTCCCTTGCTTTGTTGCTTCACAAATTCCTTCAACCCTACCTCTCACCGCCCTGAGTGAGCCGGAGCCCTCCGAGGTTTCATGATCTCTACGCCATGGCCGTGCCACTCTTTCTGCCCGACCGCAATGGCTTACATCACACGGCCTTCACGTCGCTCGACCGGCCACCGTGACGAATTCGTCGAGGACGGACCTGGACGGATTGAATTCGTCACTGCAGACCTGGAGTTTGGAAGTGGAGACTGGTTGGTTGGGGGCTATAACATGCTATATAGGACATGTGTAGCCAATAAGTGGTGTGTCCTTTTTTAGCGGAGGAGTTGGTTCATGAAATGTTTCCCGACTGGGGCAGTGGGGGGGAATCCTTAACTTTTGAGTTTATCAACTTGGCACTTTGCCCAGATACATTCCCTGAAATTATATTATGGAAGTGGATGGCACAACCCCTCACATGACCTTCTTCTTCCTATACAAACATGTTTTTTACTTTTATCATGTCAATTTCAGGGAGTGTAGATCGTCGGCGAAACCTTGCCTTGAATCCAAGGTTCCTCTCCAGATTCCAGAAGTCCTTAACGACCGGCATGCCCTTCAAAGAGAGGCAGGTCGGACCCTTTCATACGTGTTCGCGCCTGTCCTGACAGCGATTTTTGTTGGTGGAATTTCAGCTGTGACAGAGAGGGTGTGACTCAAAGAGGCATTGGAAACCCGAGGTGCTGAGTTTAGTTATTTACACATTCACTGATGGACCATGGATGTTTGGAGTGTCATTATACCCTATTTGTCTGCTTCGTCCAGGAGGCGTTCAACACCCAATTGGCATTTACCGCAAGAGCGTACTTTGGGGAATTTCATGAGCATAGTTTGCATATGATGAGCTATGAGTCCCTGCTGGGCGCTTCCCAACCCGATTTTCGAGGTTGAACTAACTCGGGAATGGGACATGCCAGAGATATGCCATATTCAGGTCATCTGGAAGATCGGGCTCGGATGGATCGGTCGCTTTTCGAAGGTGGTATGTTTGATACCTGTTCGATCAGCCAGTTTAAGGCTCACTGAGGTGGTACGTATGAGTCTTGTTCCTCAAACTGGCCTACCAAACTGGGGTCGCTATGCTGTGTTTTTGGAACTCCAGAGGTTGATAGAGCCAGCGAGTGAATGGCTATGACATGGTAATGGTAATATGGTATATACAGTATGTACAGTGTAATTGATAGACCAATTATAGCAACTTCCATTTCAGCTTTCAACAACCAGATTACATCGAAAAGAGGCCCACCTGGAAGATATGAAGGACATGTGAGGAAGACCGCCAGGGCGGGCTAGGGCACCCTGACTCCAGGCATGATTGAAATCCTGGGCCAATTTTTGCGAGAGCCAGGCTTCCAGAGATGGAGGAGAAGGAGCGTGGGCAGTGACCTGGGGTTAACGGAGCCCATAAGTTTAGCTAGTTGATGCTAGTTTCGATATGTTCCTCCCTATGAACCGTGAGCAACTGTGCAACAACTGCATGAGTCCTTTCATGTTTCGCATTGGTTTGATTTCAGAGTGTTTTTTGTTCTTTCAGTTGTACAAACATTCCCTGCTCGTGCCATCTTCTCGTTACGTCCAAGACGGTCCTCCTGTCGAAAGCAACTTCGATCTTCCGCCAGGAGACCCATCCCTTCTCCCCCTTTGACTTTGAGTACTTGGAAGTGCGTCACATGGACAGCAAATGGTTTTGGATGGTGTGAGATGTGCATGTGTTTAGTCACTTGCATGGTTTTACGCAGTTTGTGCAATTACAGCCCAACAGACAATACAAAAACGGATGATGTCTTGAATCACACAGTTGACCTTGCAATGCCCTCTATGTGTCATGGGCAGCAGATTGTCCCTCAACTGTACCAAGCTCCCCCCCCAAACAAAAACGAGTGTTGAAAGTGCGGGGCGTTCAGCTTCCATCCCAGGATGAGTTCGCCATAAAACTTTGCTGCTGGCCAGAGGTGAGTTTTGGCTGGACTACACCGAGTATGTGACGGCTCCTGCCATCCTGCACTTCGCCAGCCGCTTGGGCAGGTCTATAGATTTTGCTCGAGAGTTGGCGGGTGGGGGGGCATGGCCGGTTGCTTGGAACCAGGTAGGTGGATCTTGAAGACCTGCAGAGTGTCATTTGCCCAAGCTTTAATCGAGACTGTTGATACATAAAACCCCCCGTACCAGAATGGCTCTTTACATCTCCAGTCCTTGGTTGAAATGAATCGACAGTCGACATATCTCTACATGATTACAGTACTGTATATGGCTGTAGAGGAAGATCATTGAATCATGTTCAGTCGACTTTCAGCGTCCAAGAACTCCAACTGTTGGTCATGGGTTCCCTACTGGGACCCCAAATATGTTGGGAGTGTCCTACTACCTGTAACAGTCGGCAAACAAGCATCACTATGTTACAGATGTTTGCATACAAGCCAACCATCATTATACAGTATACATATATATATCAAGTATAAATGATTCAATCCCCTTATGATTATATAAGTCATCAATGATTATGATTATGTTCATCTTTTTCATCATCCACCGAAACCTGGTAATGGGATCTACCCAACCCATACGCCACCCATACGCGCTTTTGGCAAAAAAAACTGTGGGCCTTGAACGGTGGTAAGTCTGTAAAATCAGCCTTTTTCTGGTTGTTTTGGTGGGACCTACCACCTCACGGAAACATGTCAATGTACAACTCGCTTCTGGATTCTTGACTGCCCAGCTTTCAAGTCCTCCAGCTGCTGCTGACTCCCATTCTCAAATGGAACCCTCATTTCCCCGCGACTCGTGTTAGTTCTTTGGTTGATATGACCGAGGAATTCACCACTAGCAACTTGGAACCTTCAAGTTTCTTTCACTCCATGGTCTCCGCATGGTGCGTCGGCCTAAGGCCTACCAGACCTTTTAGTCCAGGTCTACCAGCCCTTTGGAACAGTGGAACAAGGGGCATGAGTGGACGGAAGGTGGGCGATGTACTGTGTATATATACACACACATACTTGCACATATTACATCATATTATATATACACATAGATTTTGTAGGTTCTTGAACTTGAAGAGTTCCCGAACTTCAATGAACGCTGGGTGGCTGTTGCAGGGCGTCCAAAATGGCTTGGATGGCTTGGTGTCGATGGCTGGGTTTTTCCAACTCGGATTCCCTGCAAACATGCTCCTTGAGCAAACATACCCTTGAGAGATAAAAAGAAACCCCATTCAATTCCAAACACTGCTTTGAGATGTCTTTGTTTCGCTAAGGCTGGATGCCATCAAAACTCATGGTCGGATACGTGCCCACAATGCCAGACGCCTCCGTGAAAGCCTCACGGTTGCATCAAAGCTCAGGTTGGCGCTGAGTAGCTGAAGGAAGTTGGTTCCCGCTTCTGTACTGTAGAAGGTTAGATGGTGTATGCTGTTATGTTGGATTCAACTCTCAATTGTCCACTGACACAAAAACTGGAGCAGAGAGTGCTGGTTCTGTTTTTTTTGCTCCTTTTGAAAAGGGTGTTCCCGCTTCTTTGGATGTTTGGCATTTGGGTTGCACCCTGGACACTTCTTTCGGCGCATCGGTGTGTTAGGGGTGTCCTGTTTGGACGACAGACGACCTCCCTACCCTCAACACACACACACTTAGAGAGTTGCTCGCAAGAGCTATTATCAGTACGAAGTTCCCCTTGACTGGAAGGAAGGTGCAAACCGAAAGGCGAGGAGGTCCGGAAAATTGAAGATGTTGAACAGGTTGTTTCAGTGCACTAGCCGCTTACTGCAAAACACGGAAAAAGACAGCTTGTCAACAGTTAAAACCAATTGAAAATGGCAGGTACGTAGTTCTGGCGTCCCAGAACTATATTACTGTGCGACAGATGCGTCTTCGTTGGCTGGAGACATTTGAAGCACACTCCAGCCCCCTGCTTTTTTCCGCATCCCTGCCTTTTCGTTCTCAAGTAGTGGCGAGCTCTGGGGTTCTAGAAGCCTCTAGTTCCTAGTAGCAAGGCCAAGAGCAACTAGTAGCAACCAGCCCTCTAGAAACCGACTAGGCACAAACCTTAGGAACAGGTGTTAACACGCACATGACGCCGCGTTCGGCGCTCTGTCTGTCGGCAACAGCTTTGCACGCATAACGCCAATATTGACGTTCCAAAAGACTACTAGACACCTAAAGTGCCTTAGAAAGACAGACAAAGAAAACAAAACAAGAGCAGACTAAGAGGGCAAGAAAGAAAGATAGGTATAGTGACGAGGCCCACTTAGTTAAATGAACGTAGTTCGCGAGCGGGACTTTTGTCTTAAACCGCCCGGGTAGCTAGCAATAGTATAGGGGAAACGGAAGGAAAGGCACCAACACACAAGTGTGTTGAGTGCGATTTCCTTCCGTTGCCCGAATAGCGGGTGGGATAGCAACAGAGGCCTGGGGCAGGGAGGGAAAAAGCCCGAAGGCTTTGCCATCATTGGCATTCAAGTAAAGCCGATTTTGGGCCGGCGCACCCGTCTGAAAGGTACCTGAAACCTCAAGAAAACGAAAAGCAACAGCAGGAAAGAAAAACCAAAAGAACCAGAAGAGATTACTTAGTCGTTCACGTGCCGAACTCTCCCTCCGCTCGGGCGCAAAAGGCGCAACAGTTTCACCTGAAACCTGAAAAACCTCGAGCAACTCTTTACCTGAACCTAAAAGCCTCGAGCAACCCCGAAGTCGTCCGAGTGACACAGTCGACTGAACCTGGCCTGTGAATACTTAGCAGCATGACGTGGACATGTGAATACTTAGCAGCATGTGAGAATCCTGACTGGAATTGGATCACAGTAAGCCCTGCGGCATCATATCAGTGGTATCATGCAGCTCCGCGGATCAGAGGGAATCAAGAGAAGTTCCGAAATAAAGGACGGAAGATCAGGAGGGATCCCCCACATAAAGTGGGTCTGTGCACATGCCGTGCCCCTTGACGGGGATCACACCACAGCCCGCAGTGGGACCCTGTGGCGAAACACACTTAGAGAGTTGCTCGCAAGAGCTATTATCAGTACGAAGTTCCCCTTGACTGGAAGGAAGGTGCAAACCGAAAGGTGAGGAGGTCCGGAAGATTGAAGATGTTGAACAGGTTGTTTCAGTGCACTAGCCGCTTACTGCAAAACACGGAAAAAGACAGCTTGTCAACAGTTAAAACCAATTGAAAATGGCAGGTACGTAGTTACTGCAAAACACGGAAAAAGACAGCTTGTCAACAGTTAAACCAATTGAAAATGGCAGGTACGTAGTTCTGGCGTCCCAGAACTATATCACTCTGCGACAGATGCGTCTTCGTTGGCTGGAGACATCTGAAGCACACTCCAGCCCCCCTGCTTTTTTCCGCATCCCTGCCTCTTCGTTCTCAAGTAGTGGCGAGCTCTGGGGTTCTAGAAGCCTCTAGTTCCTAGTAGCAAGGCCAAGAGCAACTAGTAGCAACCAGCCCTCTAGAAACCGACTAGGCACAAACCTTAGGAACAGGTGTTAACACACACACACACACACCTTGTGGATGGTGCGAAGTCCTTTACAAATTGGGGCAGTTCTGCCAAACCATGTTTCTTGCTTGGGAACGGTCAGTGGACAATCAAACCATGAGGGCTGTGGTTTGGACAGATACCTTTTGGTAAGTGGAAAGCACCTGGGGAAAGTGAACATCCCTCACAAGAGTGGACGATATTCTTGATTGATCTGGTAGATGTTCACCAAGGCTGCCAGATCTTGTTCCCTCACCATGTAGGTTTTGAAGAATCATTAAGATCCTTATTCCTGTTTCCTTCTCTTTTGATTTGACGATCACCAGAGATTCACAAGTCCCAAACCCTTTCTTTGTCAATCCAATTTCTTTATTGACCGCCTTGCGGTTGTCACCAGCATTTTGAGGGCCCTCTCTCAAGCATGTTTGGGACTAGAAACGAGTATGTGTTCTGTTCTAAACATTACATGATTTCGGGGGAACCACAGGTTCTTGGTGGACATGCCTTTCATTTACATCTATATAGTAGCCTCACTCTTCTTGGTTGAAACTTTTAGACCAATGGTACCAGATCCACGACATCCCATCCCTACTTCTACCTAGTGATTAGTCCGTGCATGACCCTTTTTAACCACTATTTTTCCAGGGAAACTGAGGCGTTCAGTACAGGAATCCGTTTCAAGTGCCCTCCGAGGTCGAAACTTTTGGTCCAACGCCCTGCAGCGCCTCGCGACGCCCTGGGCGCCCTGGGGGGGCGAGCACTGGGACGCCTCCTGCGGGGCGGAGCATCCGTTGAAGCCGCAGGGCAGCGTGCTGTGGTCGCCATTGGCGCCCCGGTGGGAGAGAGTGGTGTTGAACCGATTTGGAGAAAGCAAGTGGTTGGAGGGAAGGAACACGGAGAAAATGAGAAAAGGCATATAGGGGATTTTGTTAAGGGTTTGAGTTGTTTGGGAAGGAACTACTTTTTAGATGGGCAGCCATGGATCCACGTATTGTAAAGATATCTAGGCCTAGGCTTAGCTTCGCGGTGCTGGAGGATCAATTTAGGAACCATCAAGCCGCATCAAGCGATTAAGAACATTTCAGAACCATTTGACTCTCTACTGGTATTCTATACCGTCGATCAATAACATTTCAGTAATCAACAGATCTCCATTCACTCATCAACACCACCTTTTTCCTCCCCCAACGCGACCTCTCGTTCGCCCGGACGGATCCGTTTCCGACCGCCGCCCGAGGACGGTGCTCCGTGGATCCACGCTGCGCCCAGCAGGGCCGAGCCGCTGCTGATCATGGACGGTGCGGACGGTGCGCTGAGTGCGGCGGTGAGGGAGGCAGTGGAAGAGTTTCAGAGGCCTGGGGGAGTGAGGGGGTGATCCAGTGCTGGTGCCAATAAGTGTTGGTTTTTGTTGGTGTGTGAGGTCAGATGGAGTAAAGAGTAATTACATGTGAAGGTCATGGTTGGAATACAGGGCTTTGGTCGGATTTCACATGATCTGATGGTGAGAGACAGTTGCAGAGGTTGCTAGATTTTTGAGTTGCGGATTCAAGAGAAGGCTGGAGAAGAGGATGGTAGCTTTATAGTCATTCTGGTTTCACATCTTGCTATGCTCAAGCCCAACATATGATATACATGGAATGATAAGACGTGGTTCTTTGGTTAACTCCTTGCTCGTGATAACGCAGTGAACGTCTATTGGGCAGCCAAAATCAGTTATTTGGATCCTTCAAGGAGAGCCAAGCCGTCACACTCGGAAGTCTTTGCAGGCAGTCCGCGCGGGCGTTATGCGTTTGTGATTGTGCACAATTGGGAGGGGTGGTGCATTGTGCAACTTCAAGCGTTCGTTGAACATAATATCATAATGATGGTAGTCATAATAATACAATAGTATCATCATTTAATGTAATTACTGTAGTAAGTATGTATAATATGTGTGTTTTTCTTTGAAAAAAATCTCATATATATGATACGCTGTATCTTGAACGCACTGTCAGTTCAGTTGCGACTCAAAGCCTTGTGCTTTGGGATCGATTTTTCAGAGATGTGATGAGTCCGTACAGGTGCGCTGGACTGGAAGGCCATCCATCAACGCCTGAAGGGCTGCGCAGGTAGGGCCAGTTCGGTCGGTATTGGTCGACACTTAGACCCATTCTATGTATTCTGTTCACTGGGCGCTCGAGCTTTACCATTGACACTTTCACTTACTGGAGTCTTGGCTGCAGTGGCCATTTGTTGAAACAGTGAAAGTGGCCTTACTGCAGTCACTTTCGCTTACCGGCCAGGGATTTCTTGACTGCAGTTCTCCAAAATGATCCCCACAGTGGCCATCTGTTGAAAACACCGACCCCAGACCCCCCAGACCGGTGCCACGGATCGGTGGCGACCGCGACATGCGGGCAGGTGGTCGAAGAGTCGAGAAGCTCCGGTGTTTGCTGGTGATGGAGCGAGTGAGGTGCAGAAAGGGGGGAGAAGAGTGGAGAGAACTTGGTGTTTTGTGTGTTTGTGAGAATTGTGAGAAAGCAAATCAGCAAATCAACACTTCGTGAGTTCTCACGAACAACACAAATATATATTATTGTACATGTGTCTCTTCATTTTGTTCATAGGCTTAAGACTTGTAGAGGCTTTGGCCCACCCCCAAACTTTAAATCAATCTGAATCGTGAGTCGGGACCAGGCTGAGTACCCATCGCGAACGCAAATGCACATGTTGTTTCAAGCAAATACCTGTGTGAGTTTCCACTAGTCAGCATACATGTAATTTGAATATAAAGTGTGTGGCCCATCCCCAAAGACTATGCTCAGGCTGAGTACCCATCACAAGCGCAAATGCAAACGTTGTTTCAAGGATTGGATCCAGTCAGACGATGCGTGAGATGATGGGTGGCACAAGCCATGTTCATTGTAAGTTTAGAGGTTTGCCATCGCTTCTTCCTTCATCAACTCACAGACAAAATCCTTTGACTCTGCAAGATTTCATCGTGTTCTGGGGTGTTGTGTAGTGTGGGACTTCTGTGATACAAGCAAACACGTTTTCAGGGAAGACTTTTGCCACCAGAAGCTGCTTTCGGCGCACCAGGTTTGGCCCTTTTTGCGTGGTGTGTCAATTTTGTGTCGATAGCACGTGAGCGGTTCATGGCTGTGTTCGGGGTCTACATCCTCAAGGATTTTGATCGGTGCTTGGTTCCCAAACACTCCATGGAACTATGGAACTGGAACAAATCTACATGGCTATGGGATCACAACCAGCAGACTTTGGTTGACCTAGCTGGAACGTCAAGCTATACATGGTGTTGGGGTTCCAGCCTTTGACCCATCCCCACACGGACAGTTCTTGGCAACATGGAACATATCTGTGCTTGCAAGAACTGGAACTGTTTCTGTGAGGAACAAAATGGGTGTGTAATATAAATGGAGCAACATGAATGAAACATTTCTGCGGAGGGCGTTTCCCCTGCAACCCTTTGTCAGTGTCAGGCCGTTCCTGCCGCTGCTCCGCCTTACGGATCTGGTCCGTAAAGGTTGGAACTTCAGAGCTCCGAGCAGCCGTTTTGATCTTTTTTGCAACCAAAATGGTCCGGTGAAGCAGACGACCACGGTGTTCCAGTGCCATTTTGTGAATGCAGAATTTTGCACCTACTTGCAGGAAAAACAAGTTCCATGCAAGAAGGCAACATAGTATGGTGGAATCAGACATGGACACAAGGTCCAAAGCAAACACAAACAGTGTGGAATCACACATGAGAGTAAGAGTAGCGGACGCAAGGGAGTTAATCAAAAAAAACAAGAGTCTGTGACATGGGCAAACACGAAGGGGTAAATGCAAGCTCCAAAAAGAACAACTTAAGCTTGTGCCAGCACTACGCAACATGTTGTGGTTGTTGAATAGGCACGTTGGCAGCCAACCATTGGTTTGCCCTGGCACAAGACAAGGATGGCCGCCTCTTATATGCTATTATTTCCTATAGCCGTCGCACTGTCAAATACTTTTTTCACATGCATAGACTTACAAGTCCCGGGGCAAAGTTCAGTGGCCAAGTTTTGGTACAACATGGTAGGAATCCGAACTGACCTCCAACAGACTCAACCGATAGAGGTGGCTTACAACAGAGACATGTGTGGTCCAACAGGCCTTGGCTGGGACGGGACAAAAACGCTCTTGCCAGGGCGCCGACAGCTCTCACGTCTACTGGACCCTGAGGCGTCGGATTCTGTGGACACCGGTTCTAGGGATGAGTGATGAGGGGATGGTTGATGAAGCGAAGCACTGGCGCTCCAAGCATTTCCGGAAAATCCATCATGCAGTCGCAGTCAGGGGCTTCTGTGAATCCTCTCCCTATGCTCCAACAAGAGTGTAGTATTGCCGATAGAAGAGTGGGGAACCTGGAAAAGCCTTGGAGAACAACATATCGTATCAGACATGCAGAATAAAGTGTCAGTTGACTGCATGTTGGTGCTGCTGCTGCTTGTTTGACTTATCACCATTGCCATAAAATGTATTGTAGTGCAAGATGATGAATAAGCATCAGCGAACGGGCCTTTTGAAGTTCTACAAACCCGTCAAGAAAGTCATAAACAACGATCAGACATTGAAGTTAGGCTTCATTTACTGACGGGGCTTGGATCCTCTTCCATCGTCTTTCTGTGCCAGGGGAGTGTGGCCTTGGCAATTTGGCGCATGAGGAAGTGTGTGGTTCTTCTGCCTGAACCAGGCAATGGTGGAGCGTTGGCTCTTTCAGAGTTGTCTGATAATCTGGTTGATTTGTATCCTAGTCTTTGGTCGGTGGGCGCTGCTTTTCCGATAAATGTTGCTCATCATCACACGAAGCACATGTGTTTTAGTTGAGCTTTGGGCTTCTTAGAACTTGATGCAAAGTACATGTCCTCAAGATGCGCTACCAAAGAAGAAAGGTTGCTTTGCAAGATGACTTTGGCATTTGGAGCGAACCTACGTATAATGATACGCCATGGAGCCCATGGTTATCCCATGTTATCTCAGCCTATGCAGTATGATATTAATCGCCCATTGTTGAATCGGTGGTTTACAGGAAGTCCAGTCTGCCTTAACTTGACGTGTGTCCCACTGCAAGTTTAGGCTTTCTTCCAACCTTTCACACTTTCAGATCTGTGAGGCCAAGCAGGATTTATGTTGCGCTTTAGCAAAGGCAAACTTTAAGAGAGGCTTCGGCATTATGCTTGCTTTGCCAGAGCAAAGGAACCAAGATAGACTGCTTTTTTGGCGTCGCAGAAATCATTCGGGCGGACACTTGTTTGCTTTGTTCTGATCGAACTTATTGGATGATGACCTGCCTTGGCCGAGCAGTGTCCTGGAAGTGGTTGAGATATATACCCACCTTCTCACCAAATCCACTAACGCCTAGGCAGCCGATCGGCCAGGCTTTCAGGAAGTGATTGCTTATCACTTCCCATACCTCAAGCTCAACAACCAGGACACAGACGCGACGATGGTGGGTGGCTTGAAGGGGGCGTCAGGCACGTGCTAAGCCTCTGCCAAGAAAGCTGGGTGAAGTGGTCCTCCAACTGAAGCAAGACGGGTGCGGCAGGCCCTTGTCAGGAGTGCACCTCACTTGTGGAGCTTCTCTAGAAAGCACCAGTTAGAGGAGGCGATCATCAAAAATAGTCCAATGTGATTCCGATTACCTTTGGGCAAAAAATCCACCTTGTTCGATTTCTATCCACTCCCTACTATGGCTTCAGGTTTTGTACTTTTTTTTGGTGGCTAAGATCCAGGCTCCATCTACACGTCGCAGGAGCTTCTTTGGCCGAACAGAACAACGAGCTCCTCCAGCACGGGCTTTGGGCACCGCCAAATTCGGGCGCCACATTTCCTGGTGTCGCGGCTGTGGCCTGGCAGGAGAGTTTGTTCCAGGAAAGTAGTGCATTTGTTGGTCAAAGTCAAAGAAACATTGAAAGCACTGCTTGTTTATTGCAAAATAGCGCGAAACGCGGAAGTGGTTGGTCAAGGGAAACCTGCAAAGTGAGGCTCGAAAGTGTGTCGCCAGGAAGAAAGGCATGGTCAAGGGATCTTGTGGCATCCTGCTTTTAGACACCCATCAGAAGGATGGGATGAGGCTAAGGGTACGGCTTGGTACCGCTTCAAGGTCATGACAGAAGTCGAAGAAAGATTGCAGGAGGTAAAACAGCACATTCATGCAAGTTCCAAAAAACACAGTATAGTATAGTTCCCATATGATGTCCGATCTTAGATAGTAAAGTGCACCCCCCTCCTATAGCCAACAATCGAGGGAGACTGAATAGAGTCAACCCACCAAACTGGTTGGGAATTAGTAGTCGTAGTCGTAGTAGTGGTAGTAGTAGTCGTGGTCGTGTTAGTAGTGATAGTAGTAGTAGTAGTAGTAGTAGTAGTAGTAGTAGTCGTGGTGGTGGTGGTGGTAGTGGTAGTGGTAGTGGTCGTAGTGGGAGGAGGAGGACGAGGAGGAGTAGTAGTAGTAGTAGTAGTAGTAAGAGCAAGACAGTCAGGCATTTGCAGCTCTCAGTTGACAAGGATCTTAAATGGCAGCAATAGCAGTGCAGTAGAAAGAAGCTTGGATACGGTATTCTTCTTAGGACACCAAGTTGGCACATTAATTCCCCCCCCTAAACAATTCTTATTATTCACTTCCGCTGGGCTTGTGTACTACCCTCTTAAAAGTTCCCAATCAATGGACAAAACAGACCTAAAGTACACTCTGGGAAAGACACAATCTATTATTTCCACCCACCAACCTGTTCAGGCTGTGGGAATACTTTTGTGAAAACGATATTTACCCTCCTAGTTTACAAATTTGGATTCGACATTATTGTCTATCCACGTCTCCACAATTATTCATGCATCAACTCTAAGTTGTTGCACCAAGAGTAGCAAAACCCACTCAGAAGCGCCGGCTGCTCAGTGGTTGCTGAGTTGGTCACTTCCCAGGTCCTCCCAGCTCCGGCGCGAGCGGCTCCTCCACCGCGCCGGGCGGCGGCAGTTCGTGCGGCAGCTGCAGCGGCTGCGGGCCGAGACGCGGTGAGGTCGCAGGATTGGCGGGGATCAGTGTGGGCATGAACACCGGTGGGCAGTGAATGTATTATGTCATGCTTTTCCAGTGAGTAGTTTGTTTTGTTGTTGTTGAAGAGTCATAAAGTCGATTCGGTGGTAGCATGATGGTTCTTAGTTGCTATTTTGCATTGAAGCGAATCAATGGACACTGGTATTTTGGTGCATTTCTCAAATCACGGCCATTCGCACTTTCCTTTGTGCTGATTCCTTAGACTCGAACCTTTGTTGGTTGTAAGTCGCGGGGAAATGCCAAAGTCCGGTAGAGGTTTGACCGTGAGCAGTGATTGATATGCTATGGGAGGGGAGGGGATGAGAAGCATCAGTAGGACACGAAAGCAGTTTGCTGTGTATTGGGATCGCAGGGTTGATGCATGGAGTGCGTATTACACTTGCCACTCCACCAAACGGACAGTTTTCTTTTGAACTCTGATCTCTGGGATGTGATGTGTGTGTGTGTGTGATCACTTTGCCATTGCACTGCTGTCTGACCCTCATGCACAAAATATCCTTCATTACCCGAAGCCGCCAAATCAACATATTGTGCAGACCTTTGCAAAGATGCACACCCCAAAATCTCTCAAGGTCCTGTACTTTCACCTCTAAAGTCCGATTGCACTGCGGAGGTTGTTCCACCTGCAGCCAGTAATATCCTATGCTGCCTATGCAAGCCTGCTGTACTGAGCACTTTTTGAAGGCCTACCTGCAGCCTCAGTGGGTGGGAAGGTCATTGCAGTGGAAGTCTCTCAGGGAGATGCAGTGAGGGAACTAAGAGAATGCATTCTGTAATTAAATGTTTCCTGTTTGTTTGAACGAGAAGAATACCCAACCACTGCCTTGATTTGTCAAATCTGCAGTCCTTCTCCTTGCCCTGCTCACAGTTTCAGTAAGAGAGTCGCAGAAACCTTGAGATCGGCAAGCCATGAAGAGAGCCAGTGGGGTGCTGCTGCTTGGCTTCGTTTTGCTTCTATCAACATGTGTTCAAAGAAGCCAGTATGACAGCGGCTTTGCTGTGCCGAAGCAGGCTGGTTCACATGTCGCTCGTCAGAGAGCAGGTTTGGATATCCATACGTCTGCTGCGGGGAGTGTCGATGTAATAGTGGCCAGAAAGGGGGGAGACTGGGTGCACACACCAGGCCAGGTGCTTGAGCCAACGCAGGAGGAATGGAAACTTGCTGCACTGCTCAAAGATAGAGGTGAGCAAAGGAATGGACAGTGGCAAAAACTGCTTGCCAACTACACTGGGTCAAATCCAGTAGTCCTTGGTGCTGCAATGCATGCAGCAATCAAACAGAGAGAATATGAAGAAGGCCTGAAGATCTATAGAAGGCTCAGGTGCATGACAGTAGCTGAGTTTTCGATTGCAATGAAGCTTCTTGGAAAACTTGGTCGCTTTGATGAAGTGGAACAGCTTTGGGGACAATTGGTTGAGCTGGATTTGGTCAATCAAGTGCTTGCTGCAGTACGGATCGATGCTGCAGCAGATGCTGGAGACATTCAGGGAGCAGAAGCTGTCCTGGACTACATGGTGAAGAATAGCATGGAGGCGGGTGTTGTACACTTTACATCCGCCATTAAGGCTTGTGCAAATGCCAAAGACACAGGCCGTGCTCAAAAAGCCCAACTGTTTTTCGATCGAATGGTGGGCAAAGGAATAGAACCAAATGTTGTGACATACGCCAACTTGCTTCGTGCTTTCCGGGACGAATCATCTCAACGTTGCTTGCTCTTGCTTCGAGACATGAAGAACCGAAATGTGAAGCCAAACAGAATCTTTGCAGAGTCCTTCCTTTTCATTTTTTTGAAGAGCCCCCTTGACAGTCGCTGCTGGAGGACACTAAAGGAAATTATTGCAGACCTGAAGAAGCTGGATTTGTCTGACCTGCAGGCGGCAAAGCGCTTTATTGACGAGCTCAGGGATGCAAATGTGAAGATGAGCAAGTCGTCCAAGTTGATTGATGTCGCCATTAAGTCCATTTTGAGGAAGCAGTTCGTTCACTCGTTTAGTTGAGCTGGCTTTTGAGCCCTTCCTGCACAAGTTGCTGAGAAAGGATCATCCAGAAGAGCAGTTTTGTGAGACATCACATGACCTTTATCAACCAAGAAGCGTGACAACTAGCTCGCAAAGTGGCATAGGCCTAGGCGGTTAAAAGTGCTCGGCAGCCTTGAGTCTACAGACGCATATGACAATGTATGTACAATTATGTACAGCAATGTATAAATACGCAAAATGTTTGTTTGTTTATCTGGTGGTGTTGATTGTTGTTACTTCTGCGTTATAGTTTGTCACCGCTGCGTCTACGTGTCCAAGCCTGTGAAGTGGCATATGCCCAGTGATGTTGGAATTTGTTTTTCATTTATTCCCGGTTCCCAACCTTCTCACCGCCAGGTTCTTGGAGGTCAAGTCCCTTCAGTGGTGGCTCGACTGACGGTCTGCTTCGTCGGATGAGGTGGGCGGTAGACCAGGCACAGCTGAAATGGCTCCCATGATGTTAGAGTATATGCTTTCATTTCTTTGCGAGTGGCTTCAGTACTGAATAGAATAAAAGGCGAAGCTTTGCTTGAAGCTGATGAGGTCAAAGGCCATGCATGGTTACTTTGGCTGATAAGAGATAATTTGGCCCAGTATGAAGAAGGCCTAGGCTGCATGATATTGACCAGTCTCATATTTTCGCTAGCGGTTATAGGAGATATGTATGTTGAAATTTACTGTAAGAACCGGAAGCAGCCTCTGTACGTTTTACCCTTTGTTGACACCCGTTGCTTGGCAATGTTCCTTTCCGAAGTAAGTTTGTTCCATCAAACTATTTTGGTTTGGGAGGACTGAAGGCTTAAGACGTAAAGACTGGGTTCAGTCACCAAACCTAGGAGGACACTCACATATCCCAGGTCCTGCGTCCTCCATGAGGGAACCACCACGGTGCCATCGAGCTTTGGATCGCCACCTGGCGCCTGCGACCCGCGGAACCGCCGCGCTGCCGGTGCCACGTTCGCAGGCCGATCTTGACTGAGTGGAGCCATTTCTTCGAAGAACGGTCGAGAGGGAACCGACTTTGAGTGTAAATGACAAAGTCTTTGGATTCGGGGGAGATCATGTTGAGAGAGACAGGGATCTTAGGTTCAATAAACTTAGAGAAACTGAGAGACAAGTTGTTGGGTTCTTGGGGTTCTCCCAGTGTCTTGAGGCTTGAGGGTTCATCGTTTTTCATCCTTTTGGGTGTTTTCATGCAATGTGTGTTTGCCATTTCGATGTGGACCAGGTCAGCAGCTGCATGAAAGAGCATGCTAGATTTGTCTCAACACACAGCAAAAGTGGGCGTAGGCTTTTGAATGACGCGCCATGAAGAGAGCAACCCGTGTGCCTTTGCTTTGCGTCATTCTGCTTCTTTCAATTTCCCTTCATCCCATCCTCAAGGGATGTGCTACGTTTGCGCTATCTCCTACGTACCGGATGCGAGAGAAAGAGGGCTTGGGTCGTCATAGCGATCCGGGGCACTTCCGATCACCAGTCAACAGCAGTGTTGAAATCGAGCTAGCCACAGAGGAAAAGGAGCTGGCTTCTCATCTTAAGATCGCAGGCGATGGAGAGCCTGGGCAATGGCAAAAGGTGTATGCTAAATACATGGGATCTAACACGATAGTGCTTAATGCAGCAATGCAGGCAGCACTAAAGCAGAGGGACTTCAAGGAAGGCCTAAAGATCTTTGAAAACATAAGAGAGAAGACACGGCCAACATGCACAATTGCAATGAAGCTGTTTGGAAAACTTGGGCAACTCGACAAAGTCGAAGAACTTTGGACAGAGTTAGACCAGGTGGACCAAGTTGCGGCTCAAGCACGAATTGACGCGTCAGCAGATAACGGGGATGCCGAAGGGGCAATGCAAGTCCTTGATTACATGCATCAAATAGGACTTGAGGCGAATGTTTTGCACTTTTCCTCAGCCATCAATGCTTGCGCAAACGCGAAAGGAGCAGATTTTGCTAAGTCGGCTCAAGGTCTTGTAGATACAATGGTTGCAAGGGGTGTCCAGCGCAATATCATTACATACACTAACTTGCTGCGTGCGTTGCGGCAAGAGCCTAAGCAGCAGTTGTTGAGCCTCCTGGTAGAGATGGAAAGCCAGAATATTGGACCAGACACGCTGTTTGCACAGTCTTTCCTTTTTATACTCTTGAAGAAGCCTCCAAAAAGCTGCTGGGACAATATCAAAGACATTGCTGCACATTTGAAGACACAATCTGTGGCTGACCTACAGGCAGCAAAAGACTCTCTTGACCACATGAGGGATGCGAAGGTTCGATTGAACAAGTCTTGCAAGCTCATCGACGCTGCGCTTCAAAGGGTCCTTAGTGACTGATCCTTGCAAAGGATGCGGTCTTCAAATCACCTTTGTGCTGGAGCGTGGCAATTAGGGATGAGCTTCTGGGATAAAAAGATTGGGCCGTTTGGCAAGACAACTTTTCCAGCCTATACATGGTTTTACAGGAGAGACCATGACGAACTCCCGACCAGTCCTTTGGAACATATGAGTGGATATGAGTGGCATAATCTCCAAAAGACTCACTAATTTCTATGGCTTTGAGTTTGTCAGCCCGAAATGCTTCAGGTGAATGTCATTGAAGTGAAATGAATTGAATATTCTTTGTACGTGAGGTGTTCCATCTAGAGCTGGATATAAAATTGGCACTTGCTCGTGTGTTGATTCAGAGGAAGCAATGAGCCACCATTTGGGGAAAAACTCCTCAATCATCTCCCAAGGTCCCTGGGACCTTCAGGCATCAGAAGAACACTGCATGTTCAATCCCGATCTCCAGGTGAAATCTTCCAGTGGCAGATCGGGGCAGCATCCGCTCTACCTCCCACTGAGTTTGTTCAAATTTGTTCCAATCACCCTGTACACAGTTACACAGGTAGGGGAATTGACACCGGCACGGGCTAAGCCGTAGTGAGGAATCACATGCCCCCGAAGGATGGTAGAGATTTCGCCGCGGGTGTTTGCCAAACCAGATACTCCCGCTTTTCATGGATATGTGAACCTTACTGTAGAGAAGATTGCACAGCCTCCAAGACCAGGTTTATGAGGACCACCATCGGTTTCGCAGATCTCTAGGAGTCTAGGACCTGGATGTATTCCAGAATCGTGGCTCACAGCCATGGATTTCTGATAAGACGGCCAAACCTGTTTGTGCGTGCAGGTTTTGTGTTCTTTCTGTGAGATTTTTTATCGCCACAAGCTTCATGGAAGATGACCCAACCAGGCCGCCTGCCACTGTGGATTCATCGACACTCCACAGACAGAGCTTCAGCAGCTTGGACATTCAATTGCGGGTGATCGAGTGGGAAGATGTTCATTTTCTTTGGACAATGGTGGGTGAGGAGTGACATGGAGTGTGCTGATATAAACATATCTTGCTGTTTGTGACATGAAAAGGGCCAATCTGCCGATCTGCTAGGACCAGGGGCCACCAGCGATGCTCCATTGAGCTTACAAGCCCACCTGGGAGGTTAGGTTGGGGAGATGAGGAAAATCTAATGTTTGCTGTGTTTGGTGACTGTGCCGGTTTGTTTTTGTCGCTGATGGATGACATCCTCAAACATCTCAAAACATTAAGCTGCAATAAAATGAAGAACAAGCTCTTCACCATTGTTCTTGCCTGCTTGAAACAACAACATGTGTGGGCAAACTCAAAAAGATGATGACCCTAGTCAGAGGGCTCCACTCCCATTGTGCGAGCACTTGGTTCGAGGGCGTGAGCCTCAAAGCAAGGCAACTCCTCCAGGATTTTGGACAAATGGTCAAGCAACACACGTCTTTGCACCAGTGGAAGTCCAGCAATCTCTAGTTCAGTAATCTCTAAGTCCAGTAATCTCTAGTTCAGAATCACCCCAAAGTCTGTTTCTTGAACCGCAGACAGGGACATGCTGCAATTGGCTCATGGCACATACATGCTTCGGCATGCCAAAGCTTGTTGCTATGCGTGCTGCCTGTGCCATCGAACGTATCACAGGTGGCTTGAGAGCAGTGGGACATGCAGATAGCAAGTCATGTCATGCAGCAGAGTGGATCCGTTCGACGGATTTCGCTTTGTCACCCAAACGTTACAAAGCACATGATGCCTTTCCGCTGCCAAGGCAAGCTGGTTCGTACTTCCAGCGAGTGGAAGCTGGTTTGCGTGTCCATCGTCCTGCTCGGAAAGACCGGAATGACATGGTAATGAACCCAACTGGGCCTAACGAAACAAGCTTGGTGATAAAGCCAACGGAGGAAGAAAAGGGCCTTGCTTCTCAGCTTAAAGCAGCGGGCAATGACAAGAACGGACAGTGGCAAGAAGAGTTTGCCAAGTATTCTGGGCGAAGTGTGGTGGTGCTTACTGCTGCCATGCAAGCAGCACTGAAACACAGGGACTATGAGGAGGGTTTAAAGGCTTATCAAAAGCTCGAGATGAGCAAGATGGATCTACCTGCGTTTACGAATTCGATGAAACTCCTTGGCAAGCTGGGGAAACTCGATGAAGTCGAAAGGCTTTGGGAACAGCTACTCGAGCTGGGTAGAATAAACAAAGTTGCAGCTCAAGCTCGCATTGATGCGGCGGCAGACAACGGAGACATGGAAGGAGCTGCCAGAGTTCTCAACTACATGGACGCAGGAGGCATTGAGGCAGATACTTTACACTATTCATCAGCCCTCAACGCATGTGCCGATGCTGCGACTGCAGCTCGGTCAAAATCTGCTCAAGAGTTGTTCGATGCCATGGTGACGAAGGGGATCAGGCCGAATATTGTGACATACACCAACTTGCTTCGTGCTCGCCAAGACGAACCCTCTGAAGTTTGTTTGGACATCCTGAAGGACATGAAAAACCGGAACGTGATGGCCAACGCCGTGTTCGCAGAAACCTTTCTCTTCACTCTCTTGCAATCAACCCAAAAGGGTGGCTGGACCAAGGTCGGCGTCATCGCTGCGGATCTGCAGAGACTGCCTCCGGCGGATCTGCAGGCAGCAAAGCATTTCATAGACGAGCTGAGGGATGCGAAGGTTCATTTGAGCAGATCCTGTAAGCTGATCGAGGCAGCGCTTCAGTCGGTCCAAAGAAAGAAGACATTCACCCGTGAGGGCGAGGACTTGGAGCATCGCCGTGAGAACCGTTGGCAGTCGTTGGAGTGAGAAGTGCTATAGAAGTTTTTTCCCACTGGTGTGATTTGCTATGTAAAAAGGGTTGATTGGTTGTGCGATTGAGGAGCTCATCCAGCCCGCCCAACTGCGACTTTGGGTGTTGTTTGCGGATAAAATGGGAGTGCTTGGAGGGTGGAGACGATTCCTGCTCTGGAGGCGAGGCCTTTTTGCACTAGTCACTTGCACATGTTTGTTTGTGGACCAGGAATTGGGTGCGGGGGTAACGGCAGGAGCATGGCTTTGTTTTCAGAGCCCCATGTACAGACTGACAACAGGCCCGTTGAACCTTCTTTATTTGCTTGGTCCAACTTGAGACCACAAGCTTTGTCATCTTCAAAAGTCGGTCGCAGCTCTAATGCAAAGATAGGGATGTCAATGGTTTCAAAACACGTCCAGGCATAGGTCGAACATGCTTAAACCACTGCTTTGGCTATGTTTGGATCCAGCGATGACGCAACGGTGCGATGGACTAGTTGCTTTGCACCCCAGGTAATTTGTTTATAGGAGTTGGCCAGTAGCAGTAGCACTTTCAGTAATACAATGTGCCCACGCCCCAACGGAAGGGCATTGTGGAAGGATGTTATTATGCGACACCGGCAGACCAACTAAGATTATCAAGTGTGTGGTTATCGTAAAGGGAAAATCATTCATTAAAAACGTTAAATATCTATTTGCAAGGGATTTACTACCTGTTCACCTCGGTTGCGAACGCCAGCCTGGGACTACTGTTTGTCCATGTTTGTCCTATATCTTTGAGCATCGCCCAACCCAGGACGCTTGGCGCTGTAGATTCGGTCACCTCGAGTTGATGGAGCTTAGGACGCAGCTCGGGTGGCACTGAGTGGATGATCGAGTGAGGGAGGACCTTGTTTTGCTGGTGAGGTGTGAGGTTTGTTGTGCAACGGAGACGGAGGATTGACATTAGAACGTGGTGTGAGCTTACAACGATATATTATAGTAGTTGCCAGATGTTACAATGTTACCAGGGTAGGATGATCGTTTCTATGTTGTCGATGTTTTGAGGGGCACCAGGGTTCATGCTTTCAACGTGGTATCGGTGTGCGACTGCTTGATATTGGTTGGGAAGTCCTCCGTTGTTCAGGGTCTTCATGAGATTGTCGCTGTTTGGTGGATCCATGAGACTGTGTCAGACTGGCTCAAAACCACAGTGTCACAGTCTCTTTGGGAAAAAAACATGTGTTTTCTCCATGGAAACCAAGTCCAACCTAAGCCACATGGAAACAAAGCCCTGCACACAGTGCGATGGTCTTCTTGGGCTCAATATTTGGGGTTCTATCTAATCTTTGTTTTGTGAGGTTCAGGTTCAGGCAACTCCGAAGATGAAATCTATAAGTGGGACTTTTCTATACAGGACGAGAGCACCATACTTTGGCAATCTTTGGCATATGTTTTCACGTTGAAAATTGCAAATTAAATCTAGTAGCGTGGAGCAAATACATGCAGCTTTTTGCCCGTGGAACGCCTGTCTTTCAGCATGCCAAAGTTTGTGGCTATGCATCTCGAGTTGCAGGTAGCCTGAGATTTGCTTGGCAGAGAGACAGCAAGTTGTGTGCTGTTGGTTGGCTCGTTTCCACTCGCCACAATGCACAGGATGCCTTTGCGCTGCCAAAGCAGGCTCCTACTCATGTCCTACGTCGGAGAGAGGGCTTGGAAATGTATACACATGCTGGCAAAAACTGGGGCATAGTAACGAACGCCAAGGGAGAAGTTGAGCCAACAGACCTGGAAGTTGTGCCAACACTGGAGGAAAGAGAGCTTGTTTCCAAGCTCCGTGGCGAAGCCAACAAAGAGAATGGGCAATGGCAGCACGTTTTATCTTCATATTCTGGATCCAATCCAGTAGTGCTGACTGCTGCGATGCATGCGGCACTGAAAAAGAGACACTATGAAGAAGGCTTTCAGATTTACAAGAAGCTCACCCACATGACCCTACCATCATATACGATTGCAATGAAACTCCTTGGCAAACTCGGCAAAGTTGATGAAGTCGAACGACTCTGGACACAGCTGATTGAACTGGACCTGGTTGGCCAACCTCAAGCTGGAGGGCGCATCGATGCAGCTGCAGACAATGGAGACATTCAAGCAGCGGGACGAGTTCTGGACTACATGAAGGGAAAAGGTATTGAAGCCAACGTGTTACATTTTTCATCTGCCATCAATGCTTGTGCAAATGCTAAAGATCAAAGTCGAGCCGAAGCAGCTCAAGGCTTTTTTGATCAGATGCTCGCCGCTGGCATGAAGCCGAATATCGTCACATACTGCAGCTTACTTCGTGCGTTCCAACAAGAACCAAGGCAACGCTTGCTGGACTTGCTGGTTCATATGAAAGACCAACATGTGAAGCCAGACTCTGTCTTCGCAGAATCCTTTCTCTTCATCTTCTTGCGGCAACCGGGAAAAGGCGCTTGGACCACGGTGGACGTGATTGCTTCGGATCTGCGGAAGCGGCCTCTGGCGGACCTGCAGGTGGCCAAGGAGTTCATCGAGGAGCTCAGGGACGATGCACGTCCGCGCGTCCGCCTCACTCGCTCCTGCGAGGCCATCGACGTGGCGCTGCGAAGGGTCCAGGAAGAAGCGCAGAGGTTGATGGGTCAGAGAGGTTGAGAAGGTCACGAACTCGGAGACGTGAGACATGCTTCTTTAAAGAGAAAAAGAAATCACACATGGCCCAGGGAGGCATGGAGGGGCGGTGCGGTCACCTTGGAGGGAGGGAGGGACGGAGGGAAGGAGGGAGAGTTCATGGACTTTGTGAGCGGCGGTTTGTTAGGTTGAGACCAGTTCAGTATACGGTGGCAACGTGGACCTTTGGGGGTCGTCCTCTTAAGGACTCCCACTGAATCCAGCCAGGCAGGGCAAAGTGCCCCAAATTCCTCATATGGAAGGTACATGAGCACATACGAGTCATATGAGCACCTATTAGCAAGACAGTGCCTCCATGACTCCCAAAACTTACTTCTTTCCGTTGTGGCACTTGTGCTCTGCGCCTAGCATTTCCGCTGGCATGAGTTGCAAGGTAATATGTGGTGATTCGGTCGCTGAGAAATACTCTGACTCTTATGTGCCACTTCTTTTGCGAGGGCATTGTTGACAAAGATGGTCAACGATATGTTGACAGGTTCCTGGACATTGGTGTTGTAATTGGTGAAAGACTCTTTTGTTGGGTTGTAGGAGAATCATGTTGGGTGGATTTGGCCGGATAGCCCTGATGGTTCATTTGTCCCACGAGCCTGCTGGTCACGCTTTCCCAAAGGTTAGGGGATAAAACCTTGTTGGGGGATAGTTTGATGAAGATGATGAAGGGTGTGGGTCCAATCTCAACATGGAAATCCATGCACCTGGGACCATGGTGGGTGAGAAGGTGAGAATCCCTGGTGAGAAGGTGACTTCCATTCAAGTTGGGGGCTATAGAATATGTTTGAATCCCTGGAAGGAAAGCACACCGTAACTTTGACGTAAGGTCATTTGGTTCCGTTGGATCACCCAACCCCCAATAGGATTATATAATGCCTGAGAGGGTCTTTGGGTGCGCTTTGGTGTGAGGATTTATAGGCACGTATGCGGGCTCCATAGTCCCTCAAACAAATTTTGGTAGAAACCCAACTAATGTTGTGAATGTCAGGGATGAATTCTATTTCCGGGTGATCTGTTTTGACTGATGGACTAGTTCCTCAAGATACCAGAGATAGGGTGACGATTCATGAAAGATACCGATATGATGATATGGATCAAGCAACGCGTTACAGCGGTGTGAGTTAAATTAAAGGTCTTTGACATCTCATAGTTGAGATGAAGAATACTCTCAAAATATACAAAAATCATTTCCATCCTAGAGTAAGCGCATGCTGCGTTTCGCATGCCATCCGTGTGTGCTTCAGCATGTAAAGGCTTGCGGCTTCCTCTCGTTTTGCCAGGCAAGGTCGAGAGTGGTGAAGCCTGGCGAAAGGAAGTCGCGCGCCGCTGATTGGTTTCGTTCGACATCCTTCAGTGCGTTAGCCACGCAGGACAATGCGCATGTTCCCCTTGGGCAGCCGAAGCAGGTTCCTTTGAATGTCGTACGTCGGAAAGAAGGCTGGGGCGTGTATAGCCCTGCAGGGGCAAGATTTAATTTGGTAGTCAACACAACAGAGAACTTGGTACATGAACCAACAGAAGAGGAAAAGCAGCTCGCGTCGCAGCTTAAAGCAGCAGGCAACAGAAAGAACAGACAATGGCAAGCTGTGTTTTCCAAGTATTCTGGGTCTAGTCCATGGGTGCTCACTGCTGCAATGCAAGCAGCTTTGAAGACGAAGGACTACGAGGAAGGCTTCCAAGTTTACAAAAGGGTCAGACACATGACGCTGCCTACGTATACCATTTCAATGAAGCTCCTGGGGAAGCTGGGGCAACTTGACGAAGTTGAAAGGCTTTGGGATCAGTTGGTTCAGCAGAATGCTGTTGGTCAAGAGCAGGCTGGAGGGCGCATTGATGCAGCGGCAGACAATGGAGACATTCAAGCGGCAGTACGAGTTCTTGACTACATGAAGGGAAAGGGTATTGAAGCCAAGGCGTTGCATTTTGGCTCAGCCATCAATGCTTGTGCCAACAGCAAAGATGCCAATCGAGCGGAAGTCGCTCAGGGTTTTTTTGATGAGATGCTACGGACTGGTTTGACTCCCACCATTGTGACATATGCCACCGTACTTCGTGCATTCAAGCATGAACCAAGAGAACGCTTGTTGAACTTGCTAGTGGACATGAAGGACCAGAATGTGAGAGCAAATGCAGTGTTCGCAGAGACCTTTCTATTCATTTTCTTGAAGAAGCCCCCTGAGAAGGGTTGCTGGACAGCACAAAGTGTGATTGCTTCAGATTTGCGGAAATTGCGCCTGGCAGACCTGCAGACGGCGAAGGACTTTATTGATGAGCTCAAGCACACAAATGTCAACTTGAACAAATCATGCAGGCTGATCGACGAGGCGATTCAATCTGTCCTGCAAGAAGCCCATAGTGTGATGGGTCAGAGTGTTTAAACAGTATGATAATTTTTTCTGGCTTTGAGATCTTAGAGATTAGAGATGATGATTCCTTCAGTTTGCGTTTGCCTCCAAGGGCAGACAAAATGCGAAGATTTTGACTTTGGCTTTGTAGGTCACACTGTTACACAGTTACACTGTTGCAGTTATAGAGTTTGGTGGCACATATTTTTGGATGGGACTGCAAGTTTGCAGCTTTCCAGAAGCCCGTCGGTTGGTTGGGTGAGAGACTTTGAACCAGACACTCGAATCTGGACGATCAGTAGAATTGAAAAATACCTCCCTTGAATCACAATCCAAATGGGGAGGGGATTAATCAAGAGTCTACATGATGGATCATGATGGTTTCTTCTTCAGCTCACCCTGTCACACTTGGAAGGTGAGGACCGAGGACGAAAAGAGGCAACTCCGGGATAAGTCCAACCTTGTAAGTGATTGGAGTTACAGAGACCGGCAAACGGTTTGAACATACAGATTGGAATTAAAAGGCCTTGCCTTTATCAACAGCCCAGCTGATGAGCCATCCATGTTGGAAGGATGTCAACATGCCCTCAACTCCCAGCCGCTTTGACGCTTCAACATTGCATTTTGCGTGGCCCTTTCCCATCCTATCCAGGCAGGCCGGTGCCGGAGCCAAAGTGCTTCTGCACCAACTCCACTGGGTTTGAATCCCTCCCCCTTCGTGTCGAAGCATTGGTCGTTGTGCACACGGTTTGATCCAAGGCCCGACGATGTGCGCTGCCGGTGTTTTGCACCCGCTTTGGGGTGCAAAGGGCGGGCCACCGCTGTACCGCTGCTGGCTGATCAGTGGCGCAAGCAGTGTCGCGGCTGCATGGTTCTGACCCGACAAGCAGAATACCTATAATTAGGTGGACGTCCCTCTGAAGTAGCCAGTTCCCCCTGGGGCTGTCATAACTTATAGTTGGATATATAACTGGATCATGGTATGGTGCCTCTTGATTTGCCAAATTGTGTTCGCAGTCTAAAAACTGTTTCCAAGCCAATGTTTCGTTCGGATTCCCCTTTTCCAGATGGGAGCCCTTTTCCAGATGGGGAGGACAATCTCCGAAAACAAGAGCAGCAACCTCGGGGAGACTGATTGGTGGTTGGATACTCCGTGGCGAATTTGAGCCAAGGTTTGTGCTGAGCGCGTGCGGCAACATGAGCTGGTGCGGTGTCCTGTCAGCGGCAGGGGAGAGGTTTGAGTTGGGTGTAGGTATGGAGGGAAGTTGATGGGGAGGTGGCCTTTTCTCCTCATGTCATCTCGTGACTGTTTTAGCAGAAGATTAGTTGTGAAGGAAAAAGGATGAAAAAGGAACCTCTAGTGACACATGGACCTCGATCCATTTTTGTGTGTGCTAGAATAGGAGTCCCCCAGCCAGACCCCCTGGTAGAAGAGACAACATACCCAAACCCATTGGGCCACGGCTGTCTCCCCACTCCAATAAACACCCACAAGCTGCCATTTCACTAATTCAAACAATGGTGTACCAGGTCATGCCTACAATGACGATATTTTTTTGGGATTGCTGTTTGTTTTCGAAACGATCCGCTTGCACGTGATGCAGTTGTTGGCCTGTGCGTTAGCATCGGTTATATATTTTTCTGACAGGACGTCTTTGCAACCGATTTAGTTGTTTTGTTTTTAGCTCTTTCGCTCTTTCTTTTTTTTCTCGGATGTTCCGTCGGAGTTTGATGGAAGCTCTTCACATTTGGTCACTTGAACAGCACAAAGAGGAAGTAGAAAAGACTTGTGGAAGCATGTTGTGTAGCTGTGTAACCTTACCTTGAGCCTGCCTGCGCTTGAGCCTTATCTTTCGGACGTTCAATCCGTACCGGGCTCAAAGCCCCAATACCAGCCCCAGCAGGTTTCTCCAGCTGAGAACCGCAGATGCGGCGCGACTTCTCCGTCGGCATCTCGTCGTTGCCAACGGGGGCCGCTGCAGCTGTGAGGGGGGAAGCGGTGAAGTGAAGCGGGAAGGTTTGATGTTGCCCAGTTACTCCATTTTGGGGGCATAGTTACTTACATTGGGTGGTCGACCTTGGGTCAATGTATTTATATCTACATGTATATTAAAATATACTATATTCCATACATGGGAGTGTTCGATGTTGGATATTAGCCCGTACTGGAGGGCCAAAAGGCGTGTTGTTGGTGACCGTGGAGCAGATCCTCAAGACGTCTATATTTTGGGGGGTGGTGAAAATGTGCTTGTGCGGTTTGCATGTTTTGACACTTGTTGTGGGTGTGACTTGGAATCGAGAAAGAACACGCCAACACCATCCAAAACTCGTTCATTTAAAGCCACAAATCTGTCCTCATGAGTAGCGGTGCCTGTGTGAGTCGCCTTAGGCTTTGTTCTGCTTGTTTGATGAGGCACAGCTGAGAGGTCTATTTGGATCAAGCAAGAGTTGAGTGAACTTAACATTCCATCGAGACAGGCCATGCTGCTTTTGGCACGTGGTACAAGTGTCCTTCACCAGTCCAAAGCTTGTGGCTTTGTGTTTCAACGGATTGCCACTGTGATCGAACGAATTGCGGGTGGCTCGGCAGTGGTGCGGCATGATGAAAGCAAGTTGTGTCATGGATACATTTGTTCCACTTCGTCTAATTTGTCAGCAAAGCGCTACAACACTCATGATGCATTTGCACAAGTTGATTTGCCGAAGCAGGGGAGTTGTTATTTCTGGCGACAGAGGGAGGGATTGAGCGCCCATGCCCCTGCTGGGGAACAACTTGGCGCCGTAGTGAACACAGGAGAGAGCTTGGTAATTGAACCCACAGAAGAGGAGAAGTGGCTGGCCTCTCAGCTCAAAAAGGTTGGCAACAGAAAAAATGGACATGGACAGTGGCAAAAAGTGTACGCTGAATATTCTGGGTTGAACCCATTGGTGCTGACTGCTGCAATGCAGGCAGCACTGAGACAGGGAGACTATGAAGAAGGCTTTCACATCTACCAAAAGGTCAGACATATGACATTGCCGACGTATGCGGTCTCCATCAAGCTCCTTGGGAAGCTTGGTAAACTTGATGAAGTCGAACGACTTTGGCGACAGCTGGTTGAGCTGGACCTGGTCAATCGATTTGTAGCTGGAAGCCGCATTGATGCTGCTGCAGACAGTGGAGACATTCAAGCTGCAGCCAGAGTGCTCCAGTACATGAAGGAGAAGGGTATTGAGACCATCGATGTGCATTTCAACTCAGCCATCAATGCTTGTGCCAATAGCCAAGATGCCAATCGAGCAGACATCGCTCAAGGCTTTTTTGATGAGATGTTGCGGACAGGATTGAAGCCCACCATTGTGACATATGCCACCTTACTTCGTGCGTTCCGACAAATGCCCAAAGAACGTTTGTTGAACTTGTTGATGGATATGAAAAAGCATAATGTGAAAGCAAATGCAGTGTTTGCTGAATCCTTTCTCTTCATTTTTTTGCAGAAGCCTCGTGGGAAGACCTGCTGGAGAGAGCAAAGTGAGATTGCTGTGCAGATCAGGAAACTGCCTATGGCGGACCTACGGGCTGCGAAGGAGTTTGTTGATGAGGTAAAGCGTTCGAATGTCAAATTGAACATGTCCAGCGAGCGGATCGACGTTGTACTTCAGCTTCTCATAGACGAAGCCCGCAGTATATTGGGTCAGAGACATTAGACGATGATGATTCGCTGTGGCCTTTGAGAGTATCTTTTTTTCAGTGTATTGCTTCAGAGTAGAATGTAGTGACATCGATCACAGACGCATATGGAAAAGGAGCGCGCGGAGGTTCCTTGCTTTCTACTGCAGCTAAAACCAGCTTCGGAGGCTTTGATGGACGACCTCTTTGGCCCCCCAAAAGCACAAGAAAAAGTCTCAAAAGAAGTTGCCCCACAGACAGATGCCTGGGTCCCGAAGTGTCGCTTGTCACCTCTTCAATTACTGAAAGCTGTGTATCATGATCGGAGACCACGAGGGACCCTTTGGACTTTCGCTTGAAGCGATGTGTTCCCTCGACCTCTGACGAGCAACACCAAACCGGGTGGGTCTTACGGTCTGATAGAAGGCATAGGGATCAAATTAGTAATGGTCGATAATTGTCGTTTTTGATTGGTTAATTGTTTTTGATATCTCACCCTGATAGAATTGGAAGCTTCTTGGACCCCGGTGACATCCACCAGCTCATCACCTTCAAACTGGGTGCCTTCCTGAGGCCTCTCCAGCGGCTTCCTCGGAAGCCGCGCGGACCTCGCGGCGCAGACCGAGGAGTGCGAAGCCCGGAAGAGGTGCGCAGCATGGGAGTGAGGATGTTTTTGGGGAGGGCGGCTTTCTATGGACATGAGGCATGAGCTTCCTTCTTCTCGCATGTCATTGTAGGTTTGCCTTTTTGCAGCAGACCTTGGGCCTTTTGTCATACAAAATCGCCCAACGCTGTGCATACTGGAGTTGTTCTTGAAAACATCCAAAGGAAGACCACTGGCGTCACAAACAGGCAACGGTTTGTCGAGTCATATCCGCGAAAGTGCAAAGGTCTGTCCATCCGGAGTGGCCAATGTGGCCACCCGTCGCTGCAGCGCCTTCACATCGCACCTGAGTTGCTAGGCAGTTTCAGTGAAGAGGTTTCACTTGGGATGTGATGTGAGCCCATATTAGGGTTGGTTGGTTCGAGGTGTTGAGAGACTGCTGGAGATGTTTCCATTTTTTGAGGGATTGGCTATCGGTTCCTCATCATTTCAAGTATTGGATGGCAGTTCAAGGGTATCACAGAGAGGACCGGTTGAGACTCGCTGAGCGTTTCTTGGCGGGGCTGAGTACTTTTCAGAACTGTTTGGGTGTGCGCCTAGAAAGAAGAACAACACCACCATGGCTTGCAAAGGATTTAGCACAACCAAGCCATTGGTTGTTGAGTTTGCTCATTCAAAAGCACAAAGACGACTCATAAGTACGGTAAAGTCTTACCTGGTTGAAGGAGTTGCATGTTCGACTTTGGGATGGTGAACAGCCGAGAGCCGGATCAAGACACCGCACGGCAATGCTGTGAGTTCAAATCCAATTTCCTGACCACCAAGAGTGCATGCAGTTTTTTGTGCGTGGCACGCATATCCTTCAGCATGCCAAAGCTTGTGGTCGTGCCCCTCAACCAATCACAGATGGCTTGACAGCAGCGTGGCATGAGCCATGTCATGCTGCCTGCTGGCTTAGCTCAACTTCTCGCAATATATCAACCAAGCGCTACACCGCACATGATGACTTTGCACAGCCAAAGCAGATTCCTACGCATGTCCTACGTCGGACAGAGGGCTGGGGTGCTCATAGCCGTGCTGGTGAAAAATTCAATATGATAGTGAACACAACAGAGCACTTAGTGCTTGAACCAACAGAAGAGGAGAAGTGGCTTGCTTCCCAGCTCAAAGTAGCAGGCAACAAAAAGAATGGACAGTGGCAAAAAGTGGTTGCTACATATTCTGGGTTTAGTCCATTGGTGCTGACTGCTGCAATGCAGGCAGCTTTGAAACAGGGGAACTACGAGGAAGGCTACGAGATTTATAGAAGGATCAGACACATGACACTACCTACTTATACGATCTCAATGAAGCTCCTTGGGAAGCTGGGGCAACATGATGAAATCGAACGGCTGTGGGGACAGCTGATGAAGATGGACATTGTCGGTCAACCTGAAGCTTCAGGGCGCATTGATGCAGCGGCAGACAATGGAGACATTCAAGCAGCGGTACGCGTTCTGCACTACCTCCAAGAAAAACGTCTTGAGGCTGACAAGCTTCATTTCTCGTCAGCCATCAATGCTTGTGCAAACGCCAAAGATGCAGATCGTGCACAATCAGCTCAACGCTTGTTTGATGAGATGTTAGCTGTCGGTTTGAAGCCAGACATTGCAACGTACACCAACTTGCTTCGAGCCTTGGCAAATGAACCAAGGCAACGTTTGTTGAACCTGCTGACGGATGTGAAGAACCAGAATCTAACATGGAATGGAGTGTTTGCAGAGACCTTTCTCTTCATCTTCCTGCAGTCACCCCAAAAAGGGGTCTGGACCAAAGTGGATGTCATTGCTTCACATCTGCGGAAACTGTCCCTAGCCGACGTGCAGACTGCGAAGGAGTTTGTTGATGAGCTCAAGCGTTCAAATGTCAAATTGAACAAGTCCTGCAGGCTGATCGACGAGGCCATTCAGTCTGTCCTGCAAGAAGCCCGCAAAGTGATGGGTCAGAGTCCTTAGACGATGATTCGCTCCGGCTTTGAGACGATGAGGAGCGATTGCCTCCAACGAAAAAGGCGGGGTGAGCAGGTTGAGGCTGTGTAATTAGGGCTGATTTACATATGTTTACATAATGGTGTTGATATGTATTTCTCAAGTGAGCACGAGCCTAATTACAACAGAGTATCGTCAAGAGCCCACAGGTCTCAGGTCCCAAAGCCTGACAGCTTTAACTCGGTTATTTCCAAGGGCCACAGAAAGCCATGGTGTAGATTGGGGCTCCATTTCTGCACACAAGATCGACTTTTTGATCTTGTTGCAATATTCAGTGTTGAAACTAACTAACATGTGTTTTGGTTTCACACTTGCTTCAAAATCCAAGGCTTCCCAGATGACAGCTGCAGCTGCAAGCCGCCACCTGGCGATGCCGCACTGCCAGCCGGTGCTGGCCTTGAGCAGTGTTGATAGTCGAACAAGGAAGATGCAGTTGGGGAAGGAGCAGATGGCTGGACCACAAGTCAACCGATTTGTGAATTTGAACTTTGTAGATCACAGGACTTTCAAGATTCATTTAGTAGCGCTTCAATTGGTCTGCATTGTCGTGTAAAAGTTTGCATTTCTATGTGTTGGTGAGTTATGCAGCCAGTGATTCTTTACATACTTTTACCATGAAAGCTGCTTGGAGGACCGTGGTGACATCCACCGACCGACTTGCTTTACCAGATGCCCCCGCCAGGCTGAGAGGCGGTTGGCAGAGTGTGGGGGCGGAGCTGTGCACGTCCGCGGGGGCGGACAGAATCTTGAGAAGGAGTTTAGCATGATTCTATCGTTTGAATCTAGGATTCCATGAGGAGTGTTCTTTGTCTTTGTGGGGAGCTTGAACTGTCAGGGCTGGCTCTTTAGAACAGCCAGCTCTTTTGGACCCCGAACTGCAGCTCTTGGGGTTCCACAGATTGATCCAATTCTGCAAGGATTTGCAGCTTCTGAGCAAGCACCTGCCAGCATCAGCGGCGCAGCCCCTGCAGAGGACCCGTGGCTGAAAAGGAGTAGGCGGTCACAGTGCTTGCCGAAGATGGCGGTAGAATGAGGCTTTTTAGAAGTTCTTCAAGTTTTCAGTTCGCGCTGAAATCTCCACAGTGAAAGATGATGCGCTGCGCGGACGGTCAATGTTGTATATAGTAACTTTACCTTGTCTTCAGCCTTCATGCCAGGACATATCCGGTTTCTTTGGAAGGTTTCATGTTTCTTGCTGGCGGTCAGGAATTCATAACAGGCAAAGAAATCACAGTCTGCACGGCAACCCACCGTGTTGGTGGTGTCATTGACAACATTCTCACATGGTGCAAGCACAGGTTGTGTTTAAGTTTGGTTTGTTTATATACTGTATTATAATGTATTATATATAAATATATATATATATATATTTGATATCTGTTTATCTACCTAAAAGCAGAAAGGATTTGGAGGATGTGATTGAAGTTGTTTGACTGTTGTATCTCTTTCAGAAGCTCTGTACTGTTCTACTGTATACTGTATACTATATACTGCACTGCTCAACGCCCTGATACAGTAGATCAAGCTTTCACATGCCGAACATAGCTCCCAACGTTTACCAAAGGATAGAAAATCGTGAGGAAACCATGCATCGGATAATCGGATAGAACTTCAGAACAACATCCTTTTACCTGTTGGTTTCCATGAGCAAAGTTTTCCAGTCAGATAACTCGCCCCCGCACCAGAGCTGCCAATGCCGTCGACCGAGGAGTCATTCACCCGTGCACCAGGTGCAGCACCACGGAGGCACTCCGATCGTCGGGTGGAAGAAGGTCCTTGTTGTTGCCCTTAAGCAGCGGTGGAAAGGTTGCCGGATGAAAATCATCTAATGGTGCCGGTTCTTCCTTTGTGTGCATGACCTGTTGCATCCATAGCTGGGCAAACTGGGCATAATAAGCCCTCAGCGCATGTCTGACCTGGCACGATTTTGAAGCACGTTGAATGGGTGCAGCACTCTCTTGATGGACTGGATTGTTGGGAAGACAAAGACATAATGAAGTTTAATTGGAGGAGCGATCCTATATGATCCTGTCATGTTTTTTTGCTAATGAACTAAATCTTCTAAATGGGCAGGATTTCCACACGAAATGACTTGGGTTTTTACTAGTGTCCAAACATGTTTAACCGAAAGCATGGTTGAGTGATACTGCGCAGCTGTTTCGCCAACCTGGATCAAGCAGCGCCTTGCAGTGTTGACAGTTGCAAATTGTAGCAGTTCACAATTCGGCAGAATCATCCCAAGGTTGATGTCCTGGCAACAGAGGGGCATGCTTTTGGCTTGTAGAAGGCTCGCCTTTCAGCATGCCAAAGTTTGTGGCCATGCATCTCAACGGGCTGCCGTCCCAGGCGGCTTGAGAGCGGCGTTGCATGTGGAAACCAAGTCATGTGCTGCTGGTTGGCCCCTCTCTACATCCCTTTGTTTCTTTCACAAGCGTAACAGCGCCCATGATGCCTTTTCACTCCCACAGCAGGCTTGCGTGTTCATAGCGCTGCTGCCAAAAGGGGTCATGTGGTAGTGAACACAACAGAGCGCTTGGTTGTTGAACCAACAGAGGAGGAGAAGTGGCTTGCTTAAAGTCGCAGGTGACAGCAAGGAAGGACATTGGCAGAAGCTGTTTGACGAGTATTCGGGGTCTAGTCCAATTGTGCTCAATGCTGCGATGCACGCAGCTCTGAAAAAGAGGGACTACGAGGAAGGCCTCAAAATCTACAAAAGGGTCAGACACATGACATTGCCGACGTATACAATCTCCATGAAGCTCCTTGGGAAGCTTGGGCAACATGATGAAGTCGAACGACGCTGGAGACAGTTGGTTGAGTACGACCTGGTTGACCAACCTGCAGCTGGAGGACGCATTGATGCAGCGGCAGACAATGGAGACATTCAAGCAGCTGTACGGGTTCTTGACTACATGAAGGAAAAATGTATTGAAGCAACCACACTGCACTTTTCATCAGCAATCAACGCTTGTGCCAACAGCCAAGATTCAAATCGAGCCAAAGCAGCTCAAGGGTTTGTTGATGAGATGTTGCGGACTGGTTTGAAGCCGAATATTGTGACATATGCAAACGTGCTTCGTGCGTTCCGACAAGAACCAAGGCAACGTTTGCTGAATCTGCTGGTGCATATGAAAGAACAGCATGTGGAAGCAAACGTAGTGTTTGCGGAGACGTTTCTTTTCATTTTCCTCCGGTCACCTCACAAAGGGGGCTGGACCAATGTGGATGTCATTGCTTCACATCTTCGGAAATTGTCCCAGGCCGATCTAGAGGCTGCAAAGGGCTTTATTGATGAGCTCAAGGGCACAAAGGTCGAATTGAACAAGTCCTGCAGGCTGATCGCGGCCGCTGTTCGACTTGTCCTGCACGAAGCCCGCAGTGTTGTGGGTCGTAGACGTCACGCAGAAGAGGCCGCGGAGAAGAGATCTTGAATCTTCTTCAGCGCATGCCCAGTCAGGATTTCATCCAATTACGAAAAAAGCAGCGCGTGCAGATTGAGGCTGTGTAGGTGACAACGAACGTGCACGTAAGGTGCCCACAGGTCTCCAAGGTGCCCACTGGTCTCAGGTCCCAAAGTCTTACTGTTCCACTTATTTGACTCTTGTGTTTGCCAGGTCCTTGGAAGGGCATGTGCATGTAAATCTTGTTACTTGAGACTCCATTTCTGCACACGAGATTGACTTTTTGCAAGATTCAAGTGTTGAAACATGTTGAAAGTAACACGCGTTTTTGTTTCACACTTGCTTCAAAATCCTAGGCTTCCCAGATGAAAGCTGCAGCTGGAAGACGCCACCTGGCAACGCCGCACTGCGAGCATTTGCTTTTGGCTGAAGGAGCAGATGGCTAGACCCCAACTCAACTGATTTCTGAAACGTGAGCATGGATGACAGAACCTTCACAAAATTGGGTAGCAGATGCTTTTGCTGGGATTGTCACACAGTACTGTTCACCTCTACGTTTGGAGAGTTATGCAGCAGGTGAGTTCTTTACTGATGGAAGTTGCTCGGAGGACCCTGGTGCATCGACCGAGCGGCAGCGGCTGAGCAGGGAGCATTTCGGTGTGGGCTCAGCTTGCTGTGCAGGCGTGCTTTTGGGAGGAGAGGGGTGGGTGGAGAGCATGAGTGTTGTGATGATGTTTCTTGGTGGGGAGTCTGATTATGAGGGTTGGCTTTTTAGAGAAGCATTGACGAATTGTGTGTTGCTTCATTTTCGTGGTGTTTGGTAAAAAGAAAAGCATCTCATCGCACACTGGACAATGTGCATGAGGCAAACATACTGTATGTTGTTCAATTCTCCAGCTAAGGGTTGAACGCGACCCAAGATCGCACCTGCCGCACTGTCGGGGAACTCCCCAACCCACCTGGTCCATGGGTTTGCGATGCGGCGGGCAGGTTCAAAGTTTTTGCCGAAGATGGCGGCAAATGTTTTAGCTAAGAAAGTTGTTGACATTTATTCTAGTTTACGTTCGATAGTCTCTCTATATATATATATGTATATAACTATATATATATATTCTTTGAGCAGGAAAGATGACCACCTTGGTTTAGACGTTTGTCAAACCAATGATATTCTGTTGTTCTCCTGGATGTCTTGTATTTGTCACGTTTGGCAAGTCGACTCTTTTTGAGCGTTGGCTCGCCTGGGCAAAGAGGAAAGATGTCAATAATGTCAATGTTCTTGGGTCTAGGGCCTAGGGTCACATGTATTGGCCCACGTGGAGAGAGAGAGTCACAAATCTAAGAGAAGGTGACAGAAGGCGCGTAATTTCCTGGCAAATGGAGCAGCTCATCCGTGGAAGACGTGTGCTTTTCATTTCAGAACTTGAGTCCATTCAGATGACCAACCTCCATTCAGATGACCAACCTCGACCAGGACAGCTTTCTGGTCTAGCGCAACTCCTGACTCGCAATCGTTGCCCGTGGGAGCCCCAGCTTGCCCCGCATCGCACGGGGAGTTTGAAACTAGCGGAGGATTCATTCAAAGCACACTGGTGAGACAAGCTGTACAAAGTAACTTGTCCAATAGCATCCCCAAAGTCCGTTTTGGGGACCAGCACTGTGCTGCCTACTGTAGCCCGTTTGATTGGCTCAGTAGACAATCAGAGTGTCGGCGGCGAACCAAGTTGAAGGTGCCTGGACGGCATGAAAAGAGCAATTCGTTCTTCGCTGATTGGCATCCTGATTGTACTTTGGCAAGGAAGCAACCATCAAACCTTCGCGCTGCCAAAGCAGCCTAGTTCATATTTTGTGCGGCAAAGACAGGGCTTCGGCGTTCATGCCCCAGCTGGGGAAAGACTTGGTATGGTGGTAAATACGAACACAACTGGCCTGATCCTTGAGCCAAGCCAGGAGGAAAAGACACTTGCTTCTCAGCTCAAAGCAGCAGGCAATCAAAAGAATGGTCGTTGGCAACAAGTCTATGCCAAGTATTCTGGGTTCAGTCCATTGGTGCTGACTGCTGCGATGCAGGCAGCTCTGAAACAGGGGGACTATGAGGAGGGCTACAAGATTTACAAACGGGTCATACACATGACACTACCTACATATACAATTGCTATGAAACTCCTGGGCAAACTTGGGCGACAAGATGAAGTCGAACGACTCTGGGGGCAGCTAGTTGAGCAGGACTTGGTTGGCCAACTTGCAGCTGGTGGACGCATCGATGCGGCAGCCAGCATCGGAGACATTCAAGCAGCAGAACAAGTTCTTGACTATATGAAAGCAAAGGGTATTGAGGCCAATGTGGTGCATTTCACGTCAGCCATCAATGCTTGCGCAAATTCCGACGATACAAACCGAGCCAAAGCTGCTCAGCGGTTTCTTGATGCAATGCTCACAGCCGGTCTGATGCCAAATACTGTAACATACGGAGCCCTGCTTCGCGCACTCCAACAAGAACCAAAACACCGGTTGCAGAATTTGCTGGTGGAGATGAAAGGCCACAATGTAAGGCCAGACACTGTGTTCGTAGAGTGCTTCCTATTCACACTGTTAAATTCTCGCACAAAAGGTGAGTGGAGACGACGAAATGTCATTGTGGCACATCTTAGGAAACTGCCCTTTGCTCACCTCCAAGCAGCAAAACACTTCATCGACGAGATGAGAGATACAAAGGTCAGATTAGCTTATTCCTCCAGGTTGATTGATGCAGCTCTTCGGGAAGTGCTGGGCTAAGAAGTCTGGCGGCTCTAGTTGACGCTATGAGCCCAGGCAGAGCTTGGCCACCGAAGAGTGGATTTTATGCGAAGGCACTAAGGCAGTGGAAAAAGGATGCAAAGTGAAACAACTGGAGTTAGAGACCCTCCGAGCAATCCATGTCTCACATTGAGGAAACATCATTGACCTACAGGATCCTGCTGACAAGTAAAAACACCTAAAGGTTGAAGAAATTCCCATTCCCACCGACTGTTGAAGCTTTAAAAGCAGACTTGGTTGAGTGAAAGTCACCGAAGTGCCAAGGTTTGACCGCTTTCAGTGGCCAAATGCGGCCACTCGTCCGCGGCCCTCAGCGCCTTTGCATCTGAGCACCTCGGCATGCCTTGTGTTTTTCAATTGAAAAGGTTTCATGTGGGAAGTGAGCTTACTCTAAACCCTTGGGTGGTTGATTGAAGAAGTGGTGAACAAAATGCGTGGTTCTGTTATGTTCTGTTTATGTTGCGACAACCATCATGTTACTCGTAGGTTTCATTTCATGCATTATGTTGGTTGATTGGAGAAGTGTTGGAAGACCGCTTAGAGTCGTTTGCTTTTTTGTTGGATTGTTGATCGCCTAATCATGCCATATCTATTTGGATGGCTTGATATGGCCTTACTTAAACGGGCCAAGGTCAAAACTCAGCAAACCGTGGCATAACTGCACTGAGCAGAAAGAGGGCGATCAATTTCAGACCACATCCTCAAGACACCCGATACGTATGGGAATTTCCCACGTCAAAGCTCTGGGGTCTTTAGGAGCCGTCCATTTTGTTTGGACCAGACATGCTTGATCATGCAGGAGAGTCCAGCATGCTCGATTTCGGGATCATGAACAGCCAAGGGACCAATTTGGATCAAGCCATGCAATGCAATTGTGCGTGTTGAAGGGTGTCGAATAGCATTTGGACAGAGTCGTTTGATACATTTCAATATCAATCTCGCGTGCACTAGAATTCCCATGCTGCCTTTGATATCTGGTACCCGTGCCCTTCAGCATGCCAGAGTTGTTGGCTATGCATCTCAGCGAGTTGCCAGTGTCATCGACCGAATCCAAGGTGGCACAAGAGTGGCTGGGCATGAAGATGTCAATCCATGTCATACCGTGGGTTGGGTTCATTCTACGTATTTCAGTTTGTCAACAAAGCGCTATAGTACACATGATGCCTTTGTGCAGCCGAAGCAGGTGCCGACGCATGTCCTGCGTCGAAGAGAGGGCTGGGGCGTGCATAGCCCTGCAGGGGCAAGATTTGGTAGGGTAGTCAACACAACAGAGCGCTTGATACTTGAACCAACTGAGGAGGAAAGGAAGCTTGCTTCTCAGCTTAAAGCAGTAGGCAATCAAAAGAGTGGTCACCGGCAATGGCACAATCTGTATGCGGAATATTCTGGGTCCAGTCCATTGGTCCTGACTGCTGCAATGTAGGCAGCTCTGAAACAGGGGGACTATGAGGAGGGCTACAAGATTTACAAACGGGTCATACACATGACACTACCTACATATACAATTGCTATGAAACTCCTGGGCAAACTTGGGCGACAAGATGAAGTTGAACGACTCTGGGGACAGCTGGTTGAGCGGGACATTGTCAGTCACCCTCAAGCTTCAGGACGCATTGACGCGGCTGCAGACAGTGGAGACATTCAAGCAGCAGCACGGGTCCTCCGCTACCTGCGGGAAAAAGGTCTTCAGGCTGACGGGGTGCACTTTAACTCAGCGATCAATGCTTGTGCCAACAGCCAAGATTCAAATCGAGCTGCAGCAGCTCAAGGTTTTTTGGATGAGATGTTAGCTGCACGTTTGAAACCCGATATTGTGACATATGCAAACTTGCTTCGTGCATTCCGACAGGAGCCAAGGCAACGTCTGCTGAATCTGCTGGTGGAGATGAAGAAAGATAAAGTGAAAGCAAACAAAGTCTTTGCAGAAACCTTTCTGTTTGTTTTCTTGCAAGAGCCAGAAAAAGGCAGCTGGACCCAAATCAGTGTCATGGCTTCAGATTTGCGGAAAAGGCCTGTGGCCGATCTACAGGCTGCAAAGGACATTCTTGATGAGTTCAAGCGCACAAATGTCGAGTTCAGCAAGTTCTGCAAGCGGATCGACGGGGTAATTCAGTCTTTGCTGGAAGAAGCCCGCAGAGTGACTGGAAAGATCGTAGCTTAGAGATTATGCAGATGTGTTCCGCCAAAAGCTGCTTGCGTCATTGTTGACCCCTTTGATTTGCCCCGACAGTCTTCTGAACCTCAGAGGTTCACCACCTCGCCGATTCTCCGACTCAGACCGGTCCGGTGCATCTATAGAATCTAGTCATCTAGATATGTTTGGTATTCGCCAACACTGCAACTGTCATCATTCGCGACCCTGCTGCAAACTCTGAGGTGAGCCACTGCCATGATGATGCATGAAACTTTGCGACACAATGCCGACAAAAAAGTTTCGCGGCGAAGGATGCGTGTTCATTTTTTGCCCAGATCAGCTGGAGAAGAACATGGCCGACGCAGATGACTTGAGGTGTTTGGACTTCTCGGAATGATTCTCAATCGCCAGGTAGACTCGTGGAAGTTGTTAAGATTTTGGATCATTTTGGTATGTCATGATTGTAGATGCACCATAAGATGAATCCTTATACATACACTATATACAGCCACGTCAACAATCAAGTTTCCGTGAAAATCCTGTCGAGACCTGCAGGTGGCCCAGCGTGGGTGGCGGCATTTCATCATTTTGCAGGCCTCGGTAGTGTGACTGCTTGCTCAACACAGCCTACCGAGCTCAGTTGTTGGAACAGCAAAACCCGCATGTCCATGACATGTGTTGAAAGGGATATGCAAATGTTTGGGTCTTCGTAGATGTTGATGAACTTCAACATCCCGCCGGGTGTGGAATCGCACGTGTAGTCGTGCAAATTTTGATTCAAAAGTGCAAACCCTCTCAGTACTTTTGCTTGTTCGATGATGTTTTTTGGGGGTCCCGGATCCTTTCATGTTTAAAGCCGAATCTGCCGAAACCCAAGCGCCAGCGCAAAATCCGTCGCCGGTTTTGTCCCGGGCTGTCCTCAACTTTCATGCGTCCTGTCTCAAGTAGACTTGCGCAGTTTTTTGCACAAGTTAGTACACGTGGTGTTTTCCCAACGCCACTGCCATCCGCGAATCACACGACTAATCGATGACAATGTTATGAAACCGATGACAATGCTATGAAACCGAAGATTACTTGTCGTGAAATCGATGACAATGTTCTCAGCATGACATCCACATCCTCATTCCATCACACCCCCCCCCCCCCCCCCCCATTTTAATCACACGACTAATCGATGACAATGCTATGAAACCGATGACAATGCTATGAAACCGAAAATAATGTGGTGAAACCGATGACTATGCTATGAAACCGAAGATTACTTGTCGTGAAAACGATGACAATGTTCTCATCCCACCCCAACCCAACCCCCCCACCTTTCACGTAGCATCAACTTCAGATAGCAAGTGCAAACGAACGTCAATATGCCCCATCCCACCCCACCCCAACCCCCCCACCTTTCACGTAGCATCAACTTCAAAAATCGCAGTAGTCACACGTTCGGTTTTACACCCGTAGGCTTCAACATGTTCAAAGGCTTTGCTGCTGCCAACTGTTTGATGGTAGGCCTTGCATGGACAGGTTGGAATTATTTTTTTTTTGACTCAATATTTGAGGGCTGGTCGTTGAAAAGTGCAGCAACGGGGTGCTATTGCACACAGCTGGCAGGTGCTCACCACGCTTTTGCTCATCAGCTTTTTTAGGCACAGTGCGGAAGCCGCAAGTGGAGATGCATTTGGAACATATTGAAAGGCAGCAGAAGCACACATAGTGTGAATCTATGTGTCAGGAGTCATTGCTGGACGAATAGCTGCCGGTTATTACAGGTAGCTAGTACCGGACTTGTGCCTAAGCGTGGCAGAAACGACTGTCAGCTTGCTGGTTGCAAGATCCTTGGGAGTGGTGGGCACTGGTGCTCAGTCTTTTGAGTCTCACACGTAGTGGATTGAGTGGGGTTGTATTGGAACGGGAAGAGTTCAGCGCTGAATAGAAGACGGCGAGATGATACTTACTTGTTCCTGCCATACTACACATATACATATAGAGATTCAATGGGATTCATGTTTGAAGCGCAAGTGACTTAACTTTCAATGAAGGAGCCATCCAGTGTAGTCTTAAACCAAATGGCCCTAGCATCCTCAAAACTTGAAGCGTTTTTTTTTGAATGAGGCATTCCCCGTGAGAGTCCTCGTCCTCACCTGTCGGGGAATTTATCCCATCAGCGACCATGCCACCCTGCAGGGCGACGCTCACCATGCCGGGCGATGTGCCGGAGGCTGGGTGGAACCTCTTCCAGTTATAAAGGAGAAACCAAGTACTTCTTCCAGGTATTGAAGTACTGCCACCTCAGAAAGTTCAACTGGAATGTATAGCCATCCTCAAGTAGAGCATGAAGATGGGACAATCCTCAATAGCGTCATACTTTTGAGTTGTTTAGAGTAGGCCCTTATGGCGATGTGAATGTCGCTGCCAACTTGTCATTGTGGAGATAAGGGAATAGGCCTAGCGAAAGGTTCTATCATGGTGTGAAAGGGTATGCGGTATGCAACTCTCCAACCACCCCGAACTAAAGCAAAATTATACAACACCTATCCCCATTCTATCAACAAACCCTTCATGTGAGCTGTCGCCAAGAGGATCAACGATCAACTGCTTGGCTTGCTGAAATCCTATCAGTCTCCCAACCTCCCCTACCCACCGGTTTGGGTCGGTTTCTTCCCCAACAAACCGATGGACGCATCCGACCCGCCAGGGTGAAGCCTGGCGCTTTGGGACCTTCAAGGAGCTTGTCGGTCGTGGCACGAGTGGCATTTGGGTAGTTGGGCTGGGGGTGGTTTCAGGGCGTCCTGTAGATTCATTTGAAACGGCACAAATATGGATCGGTGGATCTGCAGACATGCATGTTACGCAAATTTAATCAAATTTCTCCGAATCGTCGGGGCTTGTTGGATGCGCAAGTACCGTAAGTGCCCGAATTCAGAAGCAACAGCACCTGGTCAAAAAGTGCCGGTTCCTTGGCCAATCAGCCTTACCTTCGCCAGCCTCGCCTTGGACGGCTCTCGGAAACCGATCGGCCGACCGCTTCGCCGCTTCGGCCGACCGGCTTCTCGACTCGCAGGACCCGAAGATCACTCAAGAGGCTGGGAGACCATGGGGCCATGGGGCGGGTGTGAACAGTGGGTCCTCACTGTGACCAGATATGACCAGCGAAAGAGACGGAAGTCAAATGGGTGAGTCCATGGGTAGAGCAGAACGCTGACTTCGCTATTGTTTTGAAGCCTGCATTGTAGTCCGTAGCGGCGGACGGAAAGCAATCCTATGTGACAGCATCACGCAACGACGAAGCACCTCTCAGTCTCAATGGAACAACTTCTTGGTCGTAGCTCAAGCACTCAGACTGTCCTCACCACCAAGTCATAACGGCCAGGTGAAGTTTAGCGGTGAGCGAAGGCGCTGCAAGCATTGCCTCATCTACAAGCCAGACAGGTTCGGGCTCCGTGCATGCGAGCGAGCGCTGGATATCGCTGGGTGGGGCGGCAGCGGCGGCCATCCGGCATCATGCGGGCATCCAGGGCACATGCTGCAAACACTTGGATGTGTTTTGTTCACACAGATTGTTTTTTTTGTGTGGACAGGGAGCTGTAACATGGGGGCATCCATGAATCCATGCATCTTTGATTCTGGAAAAATGGTGATGGCTCGTTTGTAAGCAGGATCAAGGGGTCAAGGTGTTGCACTTCCTTGCAACAACCCATTGCTACAGGACAGTTTGCACAGTGCATGCGCAGATGGCATCCCACTCCCAGTTCAAGCATTTCATGCATGTATTCCAATCCCGCCTTATAGAGTCTGGGGTTTTGGATGATGAGGTTCCTCTCGTTCAGTGCTTATTGTAACTGGACTTAAGTGCCATTGGCTCCTTTCACTTGCTGCACGGAAGACGCAGTCTTTTGCTGTGCCCGGGTGAGCGGTGAACGCGTTGGCTGTGCCGAAGAGGTGCCACCACTGTCGGATTTGCAAGTCGTGCATCTTGAGACTTGGCAGAAGGGTGGAGATGTGTGGAACTTATACCGAAGACCATGGTTTGTCAATTGTTGTTTGGTAGGAGGTGTGTAGGTGTGGGAGAATACAGAAACTGGAACCTCCCAGCACGTGTCTGGCTTGTGTGATAAACCACCGAATTCATGTGTAGATATTCCTCCTTGCAATTAGTTCTACTCAATTGTTTTATCAAACTATGGATGGTTGGGATCAGTTGAAGAGGATCACTTGAAGAATGAAATCAGGGTTCACTGAGTAATCACAAGACAAGTCCTATGTCTTTCGGGCAGCGAGGCATCCCTTACTTTGAAGCAGAATTGTGGAAAGCTGCAGATGTCCCACGGCCCAGACTAGCCGAACTCTAGCTGAAGCAGCTGAGGAAGATGGACCACCACTGTCCCTGGATCATGAATTGCATCGGCTTTAGGCGACCTGGGCGACCAGTCCGGAGAGCGGTTCAGCGGGACGGTCGAGGTCTGCAGCCCTGAGGCGACCAGCAAGTTGTCTTCAAATCTCCCAACCAACCAACCAACCAACCAACAAGATGTTCATCCACCATCATCCACCAGCCAGATGTGCGGGTTTTTAGATGGGAAAACATGTGTGTTTGACGTGTCGGAGAAGCAGCCACTGAGTATGTGTCAAGGGTCCAAAGCCCACGTTACGTTGACTCCATTGACATCCATTCACCGAGTAGGTCGGGAAGCATGATTCTTTAGATGTACAAGGGTGGTACAGGATGTTCGCCCAGAGGATAGGATCCAAGAGTACATCAACCACAGAGGGTGAATCAGGAGCACTTGATTGAATGAGTAACGGTACATGGCTGTTGGTCAGCACGATCAAAGAGGATTAAACTTTAAACCTTTTGGTCCATGTCCCCGACGAAAAACATGCGGTGTCCACTCAGAGACGCCTTCGATGGCTGGGGCACGAGCTGCAGCCTGCTATTTCTGCCCGGAGGTTCACATAGTCTCAGAGCAACTGAGGTCATGTTTGTCAAACCTTCACTTCCCAGGTTGTTGCTATGTGTCGACCCTTCCCCAGATGGTTTCATAATTTGTGAACCATCTTGCCTGGCGCCAGGAATCACAAATACTTCTTCTTGCTCATCATTTACTCCATGCTTTGTCCGGGCCCAGAGACACGTGTTGGGCCAGTCTTGGTGGCTAGTGTTGGTGCAAGATGGCATACCTGCTATAGCTGCTGGTCGCTTTTGCATGAATGTTGAGGTGTTGTTCTTTGACTAAATGACATGTTTGAGACCCAAAACAGATAGCAACTTGATTATTTGCTCTTTTTTACAATGGTTTTGAATCCATTTGTATATGTTGTATTGATTTGAGAAACACTACGAATAACATGACTTGAGAAGGCATTCGGCGTGTACGGGAGCTTCCCAGACAGGATCGCAGTTCCTGTGCTGCTCCTGCGCGGATGAATTCGCACGAACTAAGTTGTGACCTTGGCATGAAATGGACGTATTCTATACTTGGTGCATGTATACCATTATACTGAACTGACTGGGTCTTTATGAGCAAGAAAGACACGCTTTCGGTTCGGCAAACATGGGACCATCAGCAGCGAAAGCTCAGGCTCCATTAATCTTGCCAGACAAACATTGCCCTCCCTGGGAGTTCCTGGAGTCCTGGACCCTTCCTGGACAAGCATAGCTCTTCACCTGATGTTCAATGGTCTTCACCCCCGATCACTCTTTTCGCGAATGTGCCTGGCTACCCGGGAAAAAGAAGATGAAGACAGGTTGCGGCTTCATTGGCATCACTGTCTTTGAGACCATTGTGTGGTCTTTGGAACAGGAGAACCGTTGGAGTAAATCAGAGTAAAGAAAGAAAACATCATGAGTTGCACGAGACATTTCTACCAAATATACAGCCTGAATATGAGAATGACATCCTGCTGTTTCTTCTCCATTTCCCACATTGACAATATAAAGCGAGCTGCTGAAAAGGCGATAGTTGCTGGATGGTGATTCTGGAGAGGAGGTTGGTGGAATTCACCAAATGCAATGTTTAAGCACCAGGTCTGTGTCAGAGTGGCCCCTCTCAAGCACTTCAGAAAGAGACCCTGCGAAGGTTTCAGTGATCTCGAACAGAGCTTTCAAGCTTGTCACTTTGTAGACCCTGTTTATGTACGTTTGAGTGATTGCCATGGCCCGAGTTACTAGCAACTACTCACTCAGATGTGGGTCTTTGCAGATCCTGATCTACATGGGCAGCACGCTCTACATATTATGCAGCTATTGCTACGTCTCATTACTGTAGTCCACCCTCAAATCTGAGAGGCAGTTTCGAGGATTCCCCGCTCTCGGATCGTTGTAGGCCTTACAGAATGTTTGTTCAATTCGCAGTTTGAATGATTTTCAACAGTTCAAAGCTTTCTTGACCAGCAGTACGCGATTTTGAACCGTTCCACCCGGACTTCGTTCCGCAAGTCGTTGGGATCGTTCGATGTGTCGAGCACTTCTCGAAGCGATCTCGAAGAGGAGATGCCAATTAGTCACCGCTTTCTGCTGCTGCTGTGCTTTAGCACCACATCCATTATGGGCCCGGTGGCTTGGGACTGGGGCGATGCAGGGGCGGAGCAGGTCGGGCAATAGGGCTGGAAAAGCTGGTGAATGATGGGTGTCTAAGACATTCTAAGACCATCTAAGACTTTAGAAACAAGCAGTTGGTCGATTCTGGGTAGGTTTCTGCGGAGAAACATGTCAGATTGCCGTGGATGGTGACTGAGCAAGAACAAAGAAGCAAATAATACATGTTACAAGAACTGGATGAGTGCCAGCGATTCCATAGGTCCCTGCAGATTGCGACTATATCTTGAAGGTTTCGTTGACTGGTAACATGCTTGTTCTTGACAGTTGGTCACCTGGTGTTACGCCAGTGACTGACAAGTTGATTAGAAGGTGTATCGCGGGCGTTCTGGAAGCATAAGAAAGTTGTCGACGGCGCAAAGGAATGTGAAAGCTTCTGTTTCTTATATAGTCATTCTTCAAGTGGACGAAATCTGAAGAGCTAGTAGGAAACATTCCAATGTAATTATATAGTGAGACCGTTCATTCAGCCGTGGAAACAACACCAGATTCATTCGTCAGTTGGATCATGTTGCCTTTGAGAAGACCATTGGGAACATGAACAGTTGATGAGAATCTATTGGTCATAGATCTACACACAGCCCATGGCTCTTTCATCCACCCATCCCACCCTGGCCCTGGTTGCAAAAAAGAAGTAGCGCGCGGCAAGCGCCGCGCGACGTCCATGACAAAACCTGTTGCGTGACCAAGGCGGGTTGCTGGTGATGTTCGCCGGCTTCCACACGATGCTGATGCTCCGTGGTCTCACGTGAAGAGCTCAGAAGATGGCTGAAAGTTATAGGTAGGTGGCTCAGGTGGCTCGCATCATGACAAGAGCTAGAATGTAGGTATGGTGGTGTGGGTTTGAAGAACTGTAAATCGATTCTGTGTCAATACCTACGTACAACAAAAACACAACACGGCAGTCAGTTATTCCAGTAGCCAGGTAGACGGTAGACGTTCCTATATTGTCATTGTGCGATCTCCCTCTTAAACCAGGCACTGGAAACAGAGGCACGGTGAGTCGCTCACTCCGTCCTTTGTACATGGGAGGATGGAACAAGAGAGGCCCCCCCAAAAATCCTGTTCTGGCCCCGCCAACATGAACAACAGACCATCCCAGCACCTCCCAGTAAGTACAGGCTCGCTTACAGGCTCGCACCTCTCGGTGCCGAGCTGGTATACAGGAAAGATTAAAGATGGAGGATTGAGTGGCGCTTGGGAGTCGTAAAGGGCATTTGGACCTGGAACTCAAAATGGTTGAGAACACTTTTGCAGGGTCCACCAAAAGAAAAGAACGTCGCAAGAGATTGGTTTTCAGTGGTGCACCGCCTGGTTCAGAATGGTGTCAACCCGAACAGTATGGAAGGCAAGAACTTTCTTAATGCTTCCAAACATCATGCTAGACGGTGGGAATGTAGTCACAGGTAGCCCCAACTTGAGGCCCCAACACCGGCTGTTCCGTTCCACAAGACCAACACCATCGAGCTCTCTCAGGACCATCGAGTTCTGCGAGAAGATGTCCATCGTCACCAGTGGCACGTGCTGCAAGTGCGCCCCCTGTCATCTCTTCGTTCCACGCCGATGCGTTCCGCCGCCGTTCCGGATGACTCGTTTTCCGTTCGTCTCACATGATGCCAAATGGAAGTTTGCCTGAACAGCAGAGGACTGTGGGGTGCATTGTTTGAGCAAATTTCAAGCATGCGGCTGCAAACTTCTGGGCAGCGTGCCGCTTGTGACCATCCGGATGAAGATCGGACAAAACAAGGAATAGCCTTTAGTGTCAAAATGCTTCCGAACATGAGAAGTCTTGGTTTGAGGATGTTTGAGGTGGCCCGTTCTTAAACTTGCCCTTGCTGCAAAGTATACATGGCAAGCTGAAGCTGACGGCCCACGACAGGTGACATGAATTGCTACAACCCTGAAGGTGTGACATCAATATGGCAGGTCACTCTCCTAGAACAGTGATTGGCGTGTTGTTCTTGACCATCCCTACAACACAGGAAGAGTTGAAAGTATCCTTCCCTGCAAGATTAGTGCGAGATAGTGCGAGCCACAAAAGACATCAAAAGATATCAAAAGACTGCCTCATGACGTAAAGTGGTGTCCGGAAGATTCACGTTTGTCATTTCAGCAGTGTTCAAAACCAAACAGCCTTAGTATCTTATAGTAACGTATAGTTAGTTGAATGTTATTGACACCTTTCCATCATGTCCAAGATCTTCCATGAACATTCCAGCTTTCAGAAATGCTCATTCAGCACAACTCCCCGCTTGTTGTGGGTGATGTGACGGGTCGATCCGCTGCAGGTACGACCTCGGGGTCTATCGGAACATCACGGCTGGGCGCTTGGAGGGGTGACGACCCCGAAGGTGGTGTGAGGATTGGCTTCATTTAAATTGACGCAACTGTGCCATCTTGACTTAGGTCTAAGATGGTCTAAGTAGCCTTCAGCTGAATGCTGGTGTTCTAAGCAGATTGGTGGCGCCATGCGTCATGCGAAGCTTGGCTCAACCACCCAAGATCCCCGCAGCTGGTCTTGTTACAGTCTGGTATCTTGGCAGAGGTGTTTGTTTTTAAAGCTAGCTTCCAGCTTGTAGAAATCCAGAATCGTGATAAGGTTGGATAAAACACCGTTAACATTAGGAAGTTTGCTTCTGGACAAATAGACAAAGTCATCAAGTCATCAAGCACTTGAACAAGATGCCACACATGTTTGCCTTGCAAATAAAGGGTCGTTTGCCATGACAGTATCAAACCACCCTGGGCTACATAGGGCATAGAGGTTGACCTTTGCTTATGTGGACCTTCTCATTCTTTTGCACATCACCCCAACGTGAACCCACCAAATGTGTTCTTTCCCTGATGGACACATGCGCCATGTGCGCACGGCCCCAGGCGGTGTTTGGACCGCGGCCCTACTTGTGGCTCCTCCCCGTGGATCCACCAGCAGCTCGGACGGACCGGGAGAGGGCACACGTCGGCACGTCCGGAGGCACCGGAGGCAGGGTGCTCCGGTAGGTGCACTTGGTTTGAGAGCCAAGCATAGCCATAGACATCATAGCACAGGCGAAGTTGCCGCGTTTGACCTGGCCCTATATGAGTGTCATCCGAATTCTTGGAAGAATACAAATCTTGCGGAAACGACCAACTAACCACGCGGCCTATGCTTGGGCATAATGCCTCCACTTCTGAAGCCCACCAGCTCCTGTCCCACCCAGGTGGGTGATGGTGTCATCTTCGGCAAGCAGGTGACGGATGATGGGTTTTGTCGATATCATCCGCAAGGATGTCCTTTTTCTAGGAACCGGGACATGGAAGATGAGGCGGAGAATTAGGTTTGTTCAAAGAGCAACTTTTTTGCTTGATGCACAACACTCAATGGTTCTTTTTTCAAGCGGCACCCCCAAGCAGAAATCGACAAGATGGAAAAATGACAAGCCATAGTTGGTCACCGCCCCTGTTCCAACTTCAAACACCAGCTTCATGGGCTCCCTGTCTGAAAAAACCCATGGCCTCCCCTGCGCGGATCCCAATTGCACAGCACCTATCACTTTCACTGTGGGTTTGGCATCGTACCACACTACATATCGTTCTAGGACATTCTAGGACTAGGCTTGGATCCCCTCAAGTTGGATACTTGCCCTGGACTCGGGATCATAACACCTGTCCGTTTCTTGTATCTCATGAAGTGGGATCCAATCCCTGTGCGTCGCCACAAGCGCCAGCTACTTTGAACCTATGGCATCCTATCAATGCCTACCAGGCACCAACAATATGGTTTTATCTAGGTATGTAAGTACTCCAATCCAAGCACAGAACCGCTTATATAGGTGATCTGAATAAAGCTCCAACAATTGCATTAGCTATATATATCAAACATATGCTTGATGATCTATGTTTTGGTATGTTCTGGTATCAGAACCATCGTGTCCACCAGGTTTGACTTGTTACCCCACGCAAAAAGTCATCCTCCATGGGACACCTCTGTTTGCTCGCCACGATTTGCCCTTCCGTGCTTTTCGTCGCTTTCGTGACCCGGGCTGCTTCGGTCAGGCTCGGCATCGCGCCGACAACGATCCCGAATGGCTCGAGCCTTAGGAGCCGAGCTGGAATCGGCTGAAGGCACAAAACTGTTTTGCGGGACTGGACCAGGAGGCTTTAGCAGGTAGATGGATTGTGAAATGATTTGATGACTCATTTGTTTGCTGTGTTGTGGATAGGCTGGTGGTTTTGTTTTATTTTGTGGGCGTGTACCTTCGTTTGAAATCTATGGAGTCGAATGGTTGGTCCACATACGTACGGAGTCATGCAATGTGTTCATCAGACCTGGTACACTGATCCGAGCTCGAGCGAAAATTCTGATTGGATCGAGAGATCGCAATATAATCCACCATCGATTTCTAAATTGGAAACAATTATCAACCATCAACACTGCGTGCATGGATCTCCACAACCCCGATCCCGTCATAGAGGATATTTTCCAATATATCATCAATATAAATATATGTTTGATATCTAAGGACATGAAATTTGAAATCTAAAAATATAAATATATTTAAATTAAATAAACACTTATATAATGATATATGAATATATATAAGTGCATTAATTGAATTATTAATTTATATTATATATAATTTATATTAATATATATATATGAATATTAAAATATTTTGAATTAATTATAATATATAATAATAATTTATATTATAGATTATATTTTAATATAATTTAAATAAAAATATAATTGAATAAAAATATATATAATTGAATTATTTAATGAGAAAGATATTAATGATACGAATATATATTTGGTAATATGGTACGGCATTTAGGTCGATATGTTCGTGTTTATGTATAATATTATATTAAATGGAATTTATTTTGGTAATAATGATATATTTGAATATTATTGAAATTAATTATTTATTTGGATTAGATATTATTGATTAATAAACCTATGACATAATATATATATTTTTTAATTTAATATGGATAATAATATATTATTGAATAATAAGGAATAGATTATCGTCGATCGATTAGGCAATAGAAAATTTATAGGGATTTCTGACTTCAGCTTACACTTTCGCATGAAACATGCTTGATGTTTGCATTTTCGATGGCCATTCATCTCACGAGGGCCCTTGAGTATCGGTAGTTGCGCTACGACCTTTTAGGTTTGCGGAAAATCCAGGTGTTAGACTTCGTTTGTTGATCACTGTCGAGTTTAGATTGGTAGCGGAGCGGGCGACGCTCTAGATAGTCGGCTCCTACGGTGACCTTTTTGTTTGCCGAGATCTTTTAGATCCCCGTGAAAGTTGAGGGTAAGTTCATTGTCTTTGACCCATGTCGGGTATGGAGAGGAGTCCGAGGCGAACACCTGTTCGTCGTGCCAGGACAACGGTACCTGGACCTTCAGATGGTGGTGGAAGAGGATCTGGTGTTCTTTTCGCCAATGTCGAAAGAGATGAGCCCGCCATTCAGTTGCCCTTCACTCCTCAGCATGGCCGAGGACTTGATTTAGGATTGGCAAAGGCATGCCCATCCTCAGAGAATTTGACCCAGAAGACCTATCGAAGTTTTCGAAGACGCTTAGAGCTGTTCAAGAAGCAGTGCGATCGTCGAGGACGAGACACAGCGGTGGAAGGCGCATTCCTTGTCATAAGTCGCCTTCGTGATGTTGCCTGGGATGCTACAGAGCAGTTGAGTTTTGATGAAATTGAGACGGCAATAGATCCTTTCAAATTGGTTTTTCGTTTGCTTGATGAGCTCTACCAGTACGAGGATCTCATTGAGGTTCCCTCTCGCTGTGACGAATTCTTCTCCGACTTCAGTCGCAAGAAAGGAGAAGAATTGCAGGCCTACCTGATTCGACACAGGACACTTTTGAAGCGCATGCGAGAAGTGAATGTCGAAGTTCCACCTTTACTTTCTGGTTGGTACCTTCTCACCAGAGCTGGAGTTCCAAGATGGACTCATGTCCAGATCAAGGCCATGTGTTCCGGTGATCTTGAGTATGAGAAGGTTGGCAAGGCCTTGATTCGCATGTTCGGTGGTGACCATGTGCCGAATGCTCGTGACCTGGGTGCTCGACCCACTACGTCTTCGAAGGAGGAGGTCTATGTGGAGGAAGAAGATGAATGGTATGATGATGTTGATGATTATGCCAATGATGGAGATTGGTATGACGATGAGGCCTTCGAAGCAGATGAGTATGAAGAAGATGAAGAGCCCATTCCAGAAGAGCTTGAAGAAGCTATGGAGTTGACCGATGAGGCCTATGTATCCTACATTGAAAGTAGAAAACCGATGAAAGAATTGGCTCTATCCAGAGGTTTCTATCCAGTGGTTGCTCTTGGACCAGACTATGATCGTGCTGGCGGACGACCTCCCAAAGGTGAAGGAAAAGGAGGAAAAGGAAAAGGCAAGTCTGGCGGTAAGGGCAAGAGCAAAGGAAAAGGGAAAGGAGGTGGTTTCATGAGGAGAATACCTTTTCATCGACGCCCTATGTCAGGACTGAGGCGACCTCCTTCGAGCCCATCTACGACCAACAGCATTGGCGACAAGTCAACATTGACTGATTCCACGTCACAACATGGACCCAGATTCAAGCGGTATAGAAGCCAAGCCGCTGGAGTGAAGGAAGTGCCCGAGGAGATCACCATGGTGGAAGAAACAAATTTGACAGAAACAACAGAGGTTGCGACCTACGAACAAGTGACCGATGAGCAGTGCTTCTTCGCAGTGGCCGAACGAGGCAAAGCAATTGTGGACAGTGGTGCGACACGTACCATTGTTGGTGAAGAGAATTGGCATCGATGGTTGGAAGCATATGGCAATGACCAGACAAAGCCAGTGATTTCGCAGAACAAGGTGAGGCACTTCAAGTTTGGAGGAGGAGAGACACTTCGTTCAGACTATGAGGTAGAGTTCACTGCCATTGTTCATGGTCAAGCATTGCCTGTGACAGCATCGGTTGTCCCCGGAAGCACGCCATTTCTACTTGCTCGTCCCACGCTGGAGCAATGGGGAGTGGTGCATGACTACAAGGAGAACCGAATGAAGATTGGAGATTCTGATTGGATCACTCCCGAAAGAAATGAGCGTGGACACTTCATCCTGGACCTCATGATGTACGAAGACACCTACCACGTTGAGGAGATTTACTACCAGATGGATGAAGGTGAGCAGTTGGGAGTTGACGATGATGCAAAGTTCCTAGAAGAAGGACCTTTTGATGCTTGGGACATTGAACCATCGATGGAGGTGGACGTCATTGACAAAGACAAGATGAAAGAGACCGAAGAGATCATGATTGCAGATGACTTGGCAGAGCGGATTGCTGAGAGACTACGCTCTGAAAAGAAGCTCAAGTTCTTCGAGGTCTACGTGGACAAAGGGAACTTGGCAATTCATCTTGCCAAGAAGAATCCTGATGTTGAGTCATCAACGTTTTCCTTGCCAGAGTGGGACTTTAGCCAGAAGGCTGTGCGAGAAGAGTTTGTGTCCCTGTTGAGAGAAGTTTCCCCAGATTTTGTCTGGATCGCACCGCCATGCAAGAAGTGGTCATCAATGCAAAGACTCAACAGGAGAACTTTGAAGCAGAGAAAAGAATTCGAAGAACGAAGAAATGAAGAAGAACATTCCCATTTGTCATTGGTTGAGGATGTGGCAACTGTTTGCAAGGAGATAGACAGCGACTACGCTATGGAACATCCTCATGGTGCAGAGTCTTGGGATACAGAAACTTTGCAGAGCATGCGTGGCTACTTCGAAGGCATCTGCAACAGGTGTCGAACTGGTCTTTACTACAAAGATGAGCATCAAGAGGGACCTGTACGCAAACAGACACGGGTTCGCACCAGCTCAAGAGAAGTAGCAGAAGCCTTAAATCTTCCCTGCACTTGCACCAAGCCTCATGTACAAATGGATGGCAAAAGCAGAGCACTCCATGACATGCAGAACTATGAGGCCAAGTTCACGCAGATTGCAGGAAAAGCCATTTACAACGTGATGGATGACAATTGGATGAAGAAAGAGATAGCCAAGATCCTGGTTGCTGAAGAGACTGAGGAAGAGAAGAAGACCAAGAAGGTAACGGATGAGGAGATGAAAAGATCTAAGATTCAAAAGAGTGTTGCCCTTTCAATTGTGACAAAGCTGCATCGACAACTCGGTCATCCCGGACGAGATCGTTTGTTGGTGGCATTGAAAGAGTCCGGCATGAATGAAGAGATCATTGAGGCCGCCAAAGGTTACACATGTGACATTTGCCAGAATTTCATCAACAAGAAGCCAGCCAAGCCCTCCTCACTGCCTCAAGCACAGAAGTTCAACGAGCTGCTCGAAATGGATGTTTTCCATATCAAGTGGGACGACAAGAAATTCAAAGTCCTTGCCATCATTGATGTCTTCTCCCGCTATGAGATGAACGCAGCTGTAGAGGCAGAGACGGAAAAGGCTGAATTCAGCGTGCTGGATTCCTGGATTAATGTCTTTGGCTGCCCTCAGAAGATCAAGACGGATGCTTCAGGAGGTCACATGAGTGAAGCCTTCCTGAGCTACATGGATGACAGGAACATCAAGTTGATCCTGGTGCCCAAAGACGCTCACTACAAGATGGGGATTGTGGAACGCTTGCATGCCGTGAGACGTATGCAACTCCTGAAGATGAAGATGGAGAAATCCACATTGAGTTTGGATGTGGCAGCCCCTATAGCATGTTCCATGAGGAACCAGCTTCGGTCAATCCACGGTTCGTCCCCATCACAGATTGTCTTTGGCACAAATGCTCAAGAAGCAGGTTTGATGGACGAACCGGTCATCAATGCTGCAGATCCATCCCAGCGACATCAAGAAATCCGAGAGCTACGAGTCGCTGCAGCAAAATCCTTCTATGAGGCCAATTACAGTCACACTTTGAGGAAAGCACTTTTGAGCCAGAGTCGAGCCGTTGTCCCTCAGTATTTTCCTGGAGAATGGGTGTACTACTGGCGTGAAGGTGATTCAAAGCTTGAGGTCAGTAGATGGCGTGGCCCAGCATTGGTTTGCAGTTCACAACCCCGTGAGGCTGACGAAGCTGGACCAAGACCTGACGTATACTGGTTGGCTCACGGAACTTCTTTGCTTCGAGTCAGCCATACTTCTTTGAGACCTGAAGCACCACGTGAACGGCAGGCTCGCTTGCAATATCTCCCTCAGACAGCTCGTGTTCGAGATGTGCAGGACACCGTTCGTGCTGCCTTGCACCCTGTCCGAGGTCCAGTTCGCTTTCTTGACCTCTTGGGGGACCCACCTTTTTCTGACGCAAAAGACGAGCCTGAGACAGACTCCAAGCCAGATGATCCCCAGAACAATTCCCAGGAGCCAGAAGGCAACAAAGATGAAAACCAAGATCAGGTTGAAGAAGCCATCCAGGATTCAGGAACAGCCACCGCAGAAACACAACAGCTGCAGCCACATGAACCACAGCCCCAGCAGGTCGGAACAGAACCACACGCGGCTGCAGAAGCAACAGCACAAAC